ATAAAACAATAAAGCAATTATCAAACACTACAAAATTAGAAGAATTAGAACCACCCCTTTAAAATTTTCCTCCATGTCCAAATCTCCCAAACAACAAAACATTCAAAGAAGCCAAGTGCCCACCAACTGCAGCTGTCTCCAGCCCATCTCTCTCTCTCTCTCTCCTCTCCACCTTCTTCTATAAACCCACCTCCCTAACTTCACTCTTCTCACACCCTTTTCCTTTTCCCCCCTTTCTCTTTCTCTCTCCTCCAAATTCAAAATGTCAATCTTCTCTCTCCTCACTCTACTCCTCTTCATTTCAGCTTCATCAGCTGAACAAGCATTTCAAACCCTAAACTTAAACCCAGAAATCATAAACCCTAGAATTTCTCCCCCAAAATCACTCTCCTCCAACAAAAAATTCGAGGGTTCTTCCAATCTCGTCGACCTCAAATACCACATGGGTCCAGTTCTCTCCAATTCCCCCATTAACGTCTACATTATCTGGTATGGTAAGTGGGCCCCTTCTCAACAATCCCTCATCAGACTTTCTTCACTCTATTTCTTCCTCTTCTTCTCCTCCTTCCTCCGCCAAGACTCAAACGGTGTCGGATTGGTGGAAAACGGTGTCGCTTTACACCGATCAAACCGGAGCTAATGTCTCCAGAAACCTCCTAATCGCCGGAGAATACTCCGACCACAAGTATTCCCATGGAACCCATCTAACCAGACTATCTGTCCAGCAAGTCATAGCAAACGGCGTCAAAACGGCGCCGTTCCCAGTAGACCACAAGAACGGGATCTACCTCATATTAACTTCAGTAGATGTTACTATGCAAGATTTTTGCCGGGCAGTTTGTGGGTTTCACTACTTCACATTCCCATCTCTTGTCGGGTACACGCTCCCATACGCGTGGATTGGGAATTCGGGCAAGCAGTGCCCGGAGGTTTGCGCGTACCCGTTTGCTCTGCCCGGGTATATGAGTGGTGGCGGCTTGGCTGCGCTCAAGCCGCCGAACAATGACGTTGGAATTGATGGGATGATTAGTGTGATTGGGCATGAATTAGCGGAGTTGTCATCAAATCCGTTGATTAATGCGTGGTATGCCGGTGAAGATCCAACTGCTCCGACTGAGATCGGTGATCTTTGTGAAGGGTTGTATGGTACTGGTGGAGGTGGCGGGTATACGGGTCAAGTAATGAGAGATAGGAGTGGTAAGACGTTTAATATGTATGGGAAGAATGGAAGGAAGTTTTTGGTTCAGTGGATTTGGAGCCCTGTTTTGAAAGCTTGTGCTGGTCCAAATGCCATGGATTAATCATATATTCATATCTTATGAATTTATGATTATGATTAGGATATTATTATGGTGATTAGTTTTGTAGTATAAGATTTTTTGGGTTTTGAGTTAGGTGTTTTACTTTTTACCATGTATATTAGTGTTGTTATATGGTGAAATACTACTCGTATTTTTACTATGAAGATCATGTAATTTTAAGGATTGTCACTTTTCATAGTTGTCAAGTTGTTATACATGATACATATTATGGGGCTAAGTGATTCTATCACTTGAGAAGGTGCCTTGGATTGGAGCAATTGGCCAAAGATTGAACTCAATTCGTGGGATAACTTTTAAGACGGGACCATTGGAGGATTGGATTCGATTTGAAATTCTTGGGATTTTTAAGATGAGAGGATTGGGTTCGATTGTCAATGTTTTGGTATCGGGTGTTTACATGTATTCTTTAAAGATTTTAGTGTAAATAATGAATGTGTTTTAATTTTTGGAGACATTGTTGGATTTGCTACGAGTTTTTGTTAATGTTTAAGAAAAGAGTCACTAGAATCTATATTTAGAAAATTAAGTATGGGAAAAGGTAAGTAACAATGACACATAGTTACACACTAATACATTGTTATGAAACATGTCACACTCACACGTATCGGATTTGTACAACTAATGTCCAGGTAGAAGATTGAAGGAATGGTGGTAATTTAAGCAATTATATGCATTTATTGCTATGTTTATCTTCTTTGAATGTTCATGCTATTAAAGGTCATTTCCAATGGCTACTATATTCACAATATATGTACTCTATAAGTTAGTATAATGAATCTTAAAAGTGTTATCAGTTTAGTCAATTACTGAGTACACTTTCCATATTTAATAAAAGTAGTTAAAACACATTTATGGATGTGAAACTAGCCAAATTGCCTGTAAATGAAAGACTACACACAATGTGATTATACAATTTGACCAAATATTTTTCGTTAAATAGATCAACAATCTACTAGACAAATAGACAATGAGTTTCCCAGTTGTATGCGTGGAAGACTGGAAATTGGTGTGTTGTTAAAAGGATTAATTTGGACATATATATGGAAAGCAAGCAAGGACTCAAGGAGGCTAAGTTGGGTTGTGAGATTGATGAGGAAACACCGTTCTGTTTTTTGGACTAGAGTTTGAGCTAACTGATTTTGCTTTTTATTACAATCCTCATTCATTCATCCATCAACATAACGCAGAGAAGTCAAAGTCCATGCCAAATTATTGAAGGCAAAGTCCAACCCTACGTCAGCATATATGTGCGATTGTATTGACTTAAGGTCCAAGGATATTTGGCTTAAATTACATCAAAGCATTCACATATACAAGTACTTCTTTGGAAAAAACAAAAAATTTCTTTCCACCCCACATTAGTTTTTCCAATTTAATTAATCTTTAAGCTTATTTTTCCTGAATAATTATTACAGAGTAACTTTTTAGTCAAGTTGTAGAGCCTAAATGCATTTAACTTCGTTTTTTTTTTTGTTTTTTTTTTGGACAAGGAAAGAAAATCTAGAAAGGATCTGTTCACATTTACTGAACTGAACTAAATTGAATTGATTGAAGCTGAACAGAACTAAATAGAGTTGAAATGAATATTTTATAAGAAAAGAAAATTGAAAGCTGAACCAAACTAAACTAAACTGAAATTAAGCTAAATTGAACAAGTCTTAAAGGTATTTTAGAAGTTGAAAAGGATATTTAAAAACTCGTTAAAAGACAAAATAAAACCGAATCAACAAAGGCACAAAGCATTACAAGTCTTACAAGCTACAACCTTAGAAGAACTCTCCTTTGCCACTAAAAAAATTAGTCGCTTAATTAGCCTTTCAATGCTTCTAACGTAATAGTATACTTTGTAGTAAATCGTATTCTATCAATTTATTGTAAAGCAAATCTACTCGAATTTAGCAAAAGAGAAGACTATAGTAGCAAAGTGAAAATTACACTTACCAAACGAAAGGATACAAATGATAAAATTAGTTGAAATGTGATGATTAGTTTTCCAAACTTTATTCAATCGCTTTATGAAGATTGGACTTAACCTCTCATATCATGGACTAAAAGGGAGGGCACATAAATGACGGAGGAAACAGAACTTGGTAGCAGACAAATTGATTGTCCTTTGATTCCATGCTTTGTGATTTAGTGGCCTTAATATAATTGTTTTTTTTTCCTTACAAATTTCTTGTTAAGGGTCTGCAGCTCATTCATGGGACCCAAAAGAGATGAAACAGAAGCACCTCCCCAAGATATTTTTATCTTCCCTTGTAAGGCCATGCGATCCATGCAATTGACCCACAGTAGTCAATACTTTTTTTTTTCCCCCTCATTTTTCTATTAAGTAATAAGAAGTTATTTTATTAGATCGAAATCTTATACGGATTAATTCAACTTTAATAGCGAGAATTAATATCTCTAAGGTTGTTTAGGGGGAGAGTACAAAAATCTTAATTAATATGAAAACGACTCTTTAACTCCATAGGTTAAGGCCATATTATCTACTTTAACAAAAAAAAAAACAGAGTTACCCTTGAAAATTACAATTTAGTCTGACTACAAAATAGAAAAAAAAATAAAAAATAAAACCAATACTTTGTCCTACTATTGAATTTCTCCTTTTGATATTGATTTTTCTTGAGGAGAAGAAAGAGAAATAAATAATGAGATGGAATATACGAAGTATTTATCTAGTGAATAAAATGTATCTAGTAGCTTACAATTTTTTGTCATGCTAGCTAAATGAATTTTTGATTGAACACAATTTCTTATATTACTTCGTCAGTTTTAAACAATGTCAAATGCTTGTGCTAGACATTGCCTGGTTAAACAATGTCAAATGTGTTGTTGGTCTAAGATGAAGTGCCAAGTTTCCACATTTGTTAAAGTGTCAAATTCATCCCATTTTCATTTACATTTTATTAAGAGTTGTATTTGTAAGGTTAAAAAGTAGAGATAATATGTGGGGATCTGGGATCATGGTAGCCAAAATGAATTTGAAGCAATATGTTAGAGACAATACTGCCTTCAACCGCGGTGAATTTTGAATGCTTGAAGGCTTTGCTGACTCGATGTTTTTATTTAAGTGCCTCTGTTTGACTTTAGCCTACAATTCACATGCATCACTTTGACTAATGTTTGTGTTTTATATATAGGATCAAACATGATCACATTGTTAGAATTGCTTCTATACATTGTTTCTAACTAATTGATAGGATTTTATTAGTCAAAATTATGCATTGACATGTATACCGATCAAACTGTTGCGATTAGACACAAATAAAAACAAAGGGAGTACTAGAAAAGGCGAAGAAAGAAGTATAAAAATAAACCAAGGCAAGTGTCGATATATTGAACAAGGCATTGGGCCATTTAACCCATTAAAATAAAGAAGGTTGAGCCGTTTCTGTCAACCTTGACAAAGACGTAAGCAAAACAGGCCACTTGGCTGGGGTGGGCTAGTCGGCGCCCACGGGTGCACGAGCATCCACAGTACAAAAGATAGAGCCAGAGAAGTCTAGATCTCAAACCAAATAAAACAAATATTTTAGTTTAACTGACATATCTTCCAAGAACATTGCAGAACATACTTGCACTGTACTAGTTTAGGTGGTGCCACGTACTACTTATGCAGTGATTTTATGCCACGTGGTCTTTATGGCGGTGTAGTAGCTGCTTATATAATATGGGGGCAGTGAAGGTAGATCTTGTGATTGAAAAGAGAGACGAAAATAATTGAACAAGTACAACAAAAATAGGAAGAAATGGCAGATATAAAAGGATCATCAACTGCTGGTTGTAATGACAAGTGTGGTTGTCCTTCTCCTTGCCCTGGTGATAATACTTGCAGGTGATCTTACCCCCCTTTCCTAATTATGTCGCGCTTTCATCCTTTAGTGCTTGTTTAGTTGACATAAAAAGTATCGCGTTTTATGGTTGGACAGGTGCACAACATCAGGAGGAGATATGGATCACAAGATATGTTCATGCGGGGAGCATTGTGGGTGCAATCCGTGCACTTGTAGCAAGACGGAGGCGACGGGCACAGGCAAGGCTTCCTGCAGGTGTGGGAGCGGCTGCACTTGTTCAACATGCTCTGCTTGAGGAGAGGATGGAACAGTGATGTTGTTTGAAAGTGTTTTCATCAAGAGTCAACTTTTATGATGAGAGTAGAGTCTGTAGACTCTGTACTGTACCTTTTATATGAGCCTTGTATTATGTATCAGTTTGTTTGGGTATCTGAATAATAAAAGTTTCAGTTCAGAACTTCAACTTGGCAGGTTTATTTCACTGGCTGTGATTTTCATGAGAATTATGATTAGCATCACTTAATTCTGAATAAAATTGCATAATAAGATCATTTAAGAAATCTTCGATTCTGAATATATACAATGACTTGATCCCAAGACAATACTAGCATCCTTAACTTGGGATGCAGCTTATATCGCAGTCTTCTGTTTATATGGATATGTAAAGCTTCATTAGATGATTGATTTTATTCAGATTGAACAATTAAGAACAAGTAAAGATACAAGTACGATAAAATAAAGCAGAAACTATAAATAGCAGAACTGATACAACATTATCATATGTTATTAATTCTGATACAGGGAAATATATTTTTTTTTTAAAAAAAAAACAAAAATGTATGTTGGATTGTTGGTATGAAAAACTTTGTACATTGCAATATCCATTTGACTAATTACAAGCTGAGGTATGGTACCATGGACTTATGAGCTAACTACAGTACTATTTTTTCTTTTGCTGATGATTTAACTGAACAACAAAGCATAACTAATTATTATACAGATCTCTATCATAATTTAACCAACTTTTCACATATATCCAAGAGAAAATAACTTGATAACTTCTTACTCTATTTGGTATGTTATTGCATGCTCCTTCCAGGAGTCATCCTCAAGGTACCGCTCATGGAAGCAAACTTCTCCACTGTCCTTGACAAGCACAGCAGAAATGCTTCTGGTGCCATACCTTCCCTAAATATAAATATAGATGGTTTACATCATTTTCTCAAGAATTTAAGCAGAAATTGATAGATGGAGAGGAGCGAAGAATGGGAATCACCTTCGGAGAATTAAAGTCAATGAAAATGGAACTTAGTTGATACTCAAAATGGGGAGGGTAAATTCCTGGAAGTAAGCTTTTGTCTGCTTTTGTTGTATCCATCATCAGATTTTCGACCATTTCATTCACATGTACTTCACCTTCATCGTATGTGTCCATGAGCTCCTTAAAGTTATGGTGAAGTCGTAGAGCCTTACCACATTCCGGCAAAATAGAAAGTAAGAATTAAAGTGATAGAATCAAGAAACAACTTGTTTTGCTAGATATACAACAGAAAAAGGAAGGAAACAGAAAGAAACGAAGAATTAAGGGAGTATTAAAAAGGTTTTTGAGCGGTAATTAAGTTAAAAGAGGCAGATATACTTACTTTAGGCCAAGGTGAATCTAAACTGCTGTTGGTTAAAACATGAATGCCAGGTGAAACTTGCAAGGCAGATGGTTTATTTTCTTTTGGCCTGTTGGTCACGTACACCATGGTTTTGGAGTGAAGATCTGCCAGTATCAAGTTAAATCCATTATACTGGTCAGACTCTTGTATTATCTCATCAGCAAATTCAGCAGGATCTTTCTTACACTAATAAGAAACAAACTGAAAAGCGTCAGCTCAAGCTGAGAACAAAGTGTAAAATTAGTCACAGAAGCTGATGAAAATTCGTAAGAAAATGCCAACTACAAGACTTTGAATCGTCAATACTGGTCCATTTCAATAGCAAGAGACTGAAAGTCATTGAATCACAAATCATTGAGAGGGTCAAAGAACTCTACAGATAAGTTACTTACTAGCTGATATGTTGCTAATTAACAGATGGTGAACTGGCGAGATTCCTGGCAAAAACCATCATCTCAGATTGAGAAATTACTAAGAATGACATGGGATCCACTGATCCAGTGAAACAAGCCACTACCTCATAACAATACTTCTTCATTAGACATATATATGAATTTGAACTGCAGAAAGAGCCAAGGATTTTATGGTCAGGGAAGATGGAATGGTGTAGGGTATCTGTTATCATCTACATTCTGCGCAAATAACACATGTCTTAATTTATGCACACTTACAGGTACCCACAATTGCATCATCAACAAGATAGTATTAGCAATTCGAAAGGCCAATGTACCTCAAATCAGCAAGGTAAGATAATTTAGCTTCAAGGGACATTCTAGGTCTTTTGAGTATACATAATTCTAGCTTTATAAGCAAACTCATGTCTTGCACTCCCACACAATTGGGGTAACCAATAAATGTCACCAAAATTACTACAAAAGACAGCCACAAAATACAAATAAACCATCCTAGATCATTTTTTATTTAATCTTCCATTAGAATCAGTTTGTACTCCCTTGCTTTATACACATAATCAAATACTTCTGTGTATATCTTATTTCCTAGTCTTGTATGTAACACGTTTCTGCAAGTCAAATCAAGTTAGTTGATGACATTTTCCAAAACATTATCAAACATCACTCAAATTCAAGTCCAAAGAATCAAATTCCACCAAAAAGCATGAAAATATATAATCTAGGAATCAAATGATAAGTAATTAGTTCAAGTAAGTAGCAGAAGCAAAAAGTGACCCACCAAATAAAAAGAAGATTACCTTAAGAAAACGAACAGGCAAGTCACCTCTAGTCCTAGCAGAAGGAAGAGATTCGGTTTCTCTAAAATTAGTAAGAAAAGCTACTCTTCCATTTTTAGAACAAGCCAACCATGTCCCACCTCCAACCTCGTCTTTTCCGCCAATTATGTCTTCTCCTTCCCACCATCCTGCTGGTTTTGTTGGCCTTCCCCATAAATTAAAATTAAAATTAATTCAGATATACCCACTTCATATTTTGGCTCAAAAACAACAAATTAGGAGTATGAAGTTTTTAAAAATCAAACTTTCAGTAAACCCACTTCATAATTTTGCACAAATCTTCGATTTTTTTTTTTTTTGCGGGGAACACAAATCTTCGATATAAGAAAAGCAAGAAAAAAAAAATCAAACTTTTAGACATAACCAGCTTATAATATTGATTAGGACATCAAATTTAGGAGAAAGAAGTTCAAAAAACCATTTCATAATTTTGCTGAATACATCAAATTTAAGAGATAAAGGGTAAAAAAAAATAAAATTCAATTTTTATATGATCATAACCAGAATCAGGAAATTTTTAAGAGAGCAATTAATTAAGAAAAAAAGTCAAACTTTGTGCAAACCCAATTCACAATTTTGATCAACAAATCAATTAGGTTCCAATCAATTAAGAGAAAGAATTTTACCGAGAATGGTATTCGTCACGATTAAGGAGTAGAAGAAAAGGGTAGAGTGGATGAGCTTGCCATAGAAATACAGTGATGCACATCACCTTCCTTTTGTTTGCCTTTTAATCAACCTGATTTAAAACTGTAATTCGATTTTGTTGCTTCAACTCAATCGGTGAAGGGAGTTGCGACTTATTGTTTCGTGAATTTCTTGGATTGATGCTTTAGTTTGGCTGTTTTAATTACCGTGGATCAGGAATTGACTCATTGAGTGAGTGCATCGACACGTTTAAATGGCAATTTGCGAGGCGCATTAAACTACAACAGAAATGCCTAGTTAATCTTCTTCCCAAAAAAAAAAAATCTAGTTAGGACTGGTTCAAATTTACTTAATTTCAGTTCGGCTCCAATTAGTTCGGTTTAGTTCAATTCAGCTGCTAATTTCCCTCTCTCATAAAACATTCATTTCAGCTCAGTTCAGTTTAGATTCAGTTCAGCTCTAATCAATTCAGTTTAGTTCAGTTCAGTTTAGGTTCAGTTCAGTTCAAGTTAGTTCACCTCAGTTCAATAAATGTGAACAGACCCTTAATCTCGGTGATCTATTGAGCTTGCAGATTGACTGATCTTTATTAAAAAAAAATGTTTTAGGAAGAAATATTGGTTAAGTGCTTGAGGCTAAGTTTAGTTCACTTCCATTCATACGGAGTAGTTCTTATACCCAATAGAAAATATAAATTCATATCATCAATTCAAAATCATTATAGTGTGATTTTATATCTATGAAAATTACATAATTGGAAAATACACATAATACAAATAAAAATGAAGTTCATTATTTTTTTATATATAGATTAGCGCTCCTATAAGATCAAAGTTTAGTAAAAAATAAAAATAAATAATACAATTAGATTTGATTAGAATACATTACATGCACATAAAAAATGGAGTATTTTTTCATCACACATCCAATACATTGGAATAAAATATCAATTGTCTCCACTAAATTATTTATCATTTATTAATACACAAATTACCCTTCCTGCCTCTTATTATTTACTAGTAAGTCAATTAAATTACTTAAAGTTATGTATAGGTCAAAGTGTAATACTTGAAAGAAAAAATGAAGGGAGTAATTCACACCAAATCATGAAAAAAAGGGTTTTCTTAAGATCATATAAGAAAAATTAAAGTGAACTAAACATAGTCTAAGTAAAATTGAACAAATATTGGAAGCATAATGTTCATGCCTAAACTTGCAAATTAGAGTATGAATTTGAATACCGTGGGGTCTTTTTGGGGCCGAGCTTGGATCTTGAACTAAAATTGTGTTTTAAGGTTACTCAAACATAGGGCTAGGGTTTGTGATTTTGGAATTAGGGCAAGGCGGGCTCAGGTTAAAGATGTATACAACATCCGTTTGTTGTCAGTTTTTTTAAAAAGATATTATTTGCGAGACATAAAAATTTCATTTATTACAATTAAAAAGAAATTGAGGTAGTAATATAAATTGATAAATTGATGTTGCTTACTTAAAGAAAAAGACTCATGAAAAGATGGTTGACTTTTTCATTAAATTCAAAATTTAGTTATAATAACATTTTAATTGTTCTATGAAAATCAAATCAAAACTTCATTTTCACAATCTATCTAGGAAAAATAGAAATAAAAACCAAAGTACAAAGGGAGTTTCTTTATTTTTTTATTTTTACTTTTAACCTCTACTAAAGATCATAAGCTCATCTTCATTAGGATCAAATTCATCAAAATATTTTGGACTACATTCTCTAAAAAAAAAAAAACACATAAATATCTGACCTCACAAAAAGTGTATGTCACGTGTAAGTTGAACCACACGAACTAAGAGTAAAGCCATTGGTTGCCCTTTTGTAGTGGGCATGAGGAGAGAGAAAATGAAATAATATTTAAAAAATAAAATTTCATCAATTTTGGAGAGAGAAATGCCATGACCAAGTCATGGCCATGACCTTTGGCAAAAGGTGGGCAAAGAATTTGAGTCCGTCACTTGTCCATCTATAATTGGCTGATAGTATTTATATTTTATTTTCTCTGTACAAGTATAATAAAGAAATTATTTATAAGTAGGGCAAGTAGTGGGCAACCAATGAGAGTGTATGGTCATAGGTGGGTATGAGAATTGAGCATAAATGAGATGGAAGAGAGAGATATGTATTAAATATTTGATGACCACCATTGGCTTGGGCAACCAATGGCTGTACTCTAAGTTAGGTGTTTTTCACGTGACTAGCCTGCTCCCCTATTCCTCCCAAAAAATAAAAAAAAAAAGGAAAAAAAAGAAAATAAGAGGAGAGAGAAAAATAGAAAGGGGGGTCTCACACACACAACCAACACCTAACACAGCAGCAGAAGAAAACCCAACTCTTCTTTTCTTTCCCCAAAAAAATTTAAAAAAAAAAAACAAAAAAAGAAAAAGAAAAAAAATGGGTAAGATAGTGGAGAAGAAGAAGAAAGGTCGACCATCTCTGTTAGATCTTCAAAAACGTTCCTTAAAACAACAACAAGAGCAACAACAACAACAACAATCTCAACAAAAAATTCGGAATCATAAAATTAATAAAATCCCCAATTCCAAAATCACAAACCCTAGCCCTAATTCCAATTCCTCCGCCGGAATTCGCCGATCCACTCGCCGGAACCCTAACCCTAATTCCGACCTCGACGAGGATACTCCTTCTGCTACTAAGAAGCAATTGAAGCTTGCTAATTTGAAATTGCCGAAGAATGAAGATGATGATGAGGAAGAAGATGATGAGGAGGTTCTGGGTAAGGGTAACTCTGACGAGGAGAGAGAAAATTCGGGTTCGGAATCTTGCCCGGATGATGGTGCTTCCTCGGGCTCCAATCTTAAGAAGCGCAAAATTGATTCAATTTCTCATGGATCTGGAGTTGAGGAGATTAAGGTTTATAATTTATTTTTTAATTTTTAAAATTTTTATATTGATTTGGGATTATTGTTGGAGAAATTGAAATACTGACATTTATTTTTGTAGTTGATAAAAGCGCGGGTTTTTTTTAGTAAGCATTGATTTTTGGTTTAATTTGTGTTAATTTTTGAAAAATCGTTACTACTACTTCTTCCTTGAATTTCGCGCATTTTAATTTCAAGTGAGGGTGACGCACTTTGACTCAGTCTCTCTCTTTTCTTGGTGTAAGAATTGTGTAATTTGTTATCTTTTTGGCTGCTGATTTCTTTTTTTTTTTTGGGTTTCTGTAAATTGGGTATTTTTTTTTAATTAATTAATTTTTGCTAAATTAAAGGGAAAATTATTTGTTGTTGATTGTGGGCATTAAATGATAAGACTGTCATCTCAACAAAAAGTTCAATTTTGTCTTTACTTTAAAAATATTTCCTTTTTCAAAAAATAAAAATAAAAATAATGGTTGGAGTACTATGTTACTATGCAAGTTTTATAACTGTCGCTTTGCTTGAGTATTTTTGCTTTATTATTGTGGATAATATATAATGCTGACTGATATGGGGTTTGTTTTTGCAGAGTGAAAAGCACAGCAGTGCTGTTGTAACAACAAAGCAGGAGAGCACTCAACAAGGTTTCTGTCTGTTTTATGTATCATCTTAAGTGAATTGTTAGAATTGTGATTGTTTTGATCATCTCGTGCTGAATGTCGATTTCGATGATGTTTGCAGAATCTAAGGTCGATGATGGACCGATGACGCCTTTGCCTGATAAAAGTCTGTTGCTTTTTATTCTTGATAGACTTCAAAAGTATGACCTTTTTAGCTAAATGGAGTTTTAATCTCGCTTTTTAGTGATTTGGCTTTTTGAATTGTGTACTGAGTATATACTTAGAGGATGGGTATTTTTCTATGACCAGGAAGGATACTTATGGAGTTTTTGCAGATCCCGTGGACCCGGAAGAGGTGAATTGAAAGTAGTGATGATATTAAAATCTTTATGGAAGTTGTTGCCAGTTTGATTCTTGTTTAAATCTGTTCTCTGTTTTTGTGGGGTGCAGCTTCCAGACTACCATGAAGTTATTGAGAACCCAATGGATTTTAGTACTGTAAGGAAGAAACTTGCCAGTGGTGCTTATTCTAGCCTGGAACAATTTGAGGTTTGTTTTTGTCTCAGCTTTCTTCTTTATTTCTTACTGCATCATATTGGGGAGAGTTATGGTTGGTAGTTGTAGGGCTTACTCTGCTCAGCTTTTGATCTTTATGTGTGTGAATATTGCCAACTATCTAGTACAATCCTACATAGTAGGGATTTTTTTAAAAAGCCCATTTCATCTTCTTGGTTGGTGCTTTCACTGATTATCTAAGGTGAGTTGTAATTAGTAATTGAGACTCTGTGACCATGATCATGGTTATATTATAACTGGATGAAGAGCCATGGGCCTTTGGTATAGCAGTCTATATATGAGAATGAAGTCCCCTGATAGCTATAGAATTTTCATCGCCAGCTTTCAGCTTGCCTTGTGAATGCAGTGTTGGAAGGAAATGGAGCATATTTGTCAGTAGTTCCTTTCTGTGTTTAGAGGCTTTGCTAAGCTCTCTTTTGCATTAAGTGTCATTTACATGATTTTCTTTTTGTCAGTGGAGGTCCTCCTCAGAATCTTTTTAGATTCAAACTTCCAATTGTTTTGGAGGTTCTCTTTGAAACTCAGGAGTTTGATATCTAGATTTTTACAGGGAATTTTGCTTACCATGCGACTCTGACTCAATTTGTCCATTGCTGTCCATCATAGTTTCATCTATAGTTATGCTGCATGTATTTTGTTAATTTCTCACCCAGTTTTCCTTGATGCTTAATAGAGACATGAACTTCAAGTTCTGAGTCTTCTGACCTATGTGATTTCTTCTTGTCTTCTTAATTTTTTACTGTGTCTGTGCATAAAAGCCTGGAAGACTATAATAGAGTTGAGTTATTAAAAGTAAATATTGTTATATTATTTTTAAAAATAAGGGACAAAGATGCAATCCAAGATCTGCAGAACTATGACACGTTCAACATTATGCACTTAAATGTTATTTTATGGTTAGGTATTAATATCTCACATGACTACTATAGGTGTCTGTTGTGTTCACTGATTTCCTCAAAAAATGTGTGATACTGTATTGGTGTTGAAAACTTGTTTTTCTTTACTTTTGTTTTGGGTTGGGTTGTTGGGGGGGGGGGGGGGAGTGGTGGTGTTGGCTGGTTTGGCAGTCTAGATCTCTGTGTAGTGTTACAGCCATGTGTTTGAATGATTTATGTAACCGATTATTACTATATCTCATGCCTCCAATTTACATCCTTTTGACCTTCCCTTGTTATGCAGAAAGATGTTTTCTTGATTTGTTCCAATGCAATGCAATACAATGCTCCGGATACTATCTACTTTCGACAGGTAAAAAGACTTGCTTTTATAAAAAAATTTTGTATGCTATGTATGCCTTTCTTTTTAATATTGCTTTTCTTACCAGGCACGGTCTATACAAGAGTTGGCTGTAAAAAATTTTGATAATCTAAGGGCAGATAGTGATAATAATGAACCAGAACCAGAACCCAAGGTTGTAAGAAGGGGAAGACCGCCAACAAAGAATTTGAAGAGACCTCCAGGTAGACCTCCATTAGAGAGGGCTAGCTCTGACTTCTCCGAGGCAACTCTTGCTACTGCTGGGGGAAATTCTAATCGATCCAATAATGAGGTGAGGAAGGCATCTCATTCAGATAAGTATGGATCAACTGATACTTTTGCACGATCCTTGTATGGTTCTCGTGTTGGTGAGACTTACATTGGCTGGTCTGCTGAGAGATATGATAGAGCTGATGACATGTTAGGTAAGCATTCATCATGCTTATGGGCTCCCCTGAACCATTCAGTGTGTCTATATCTTGTGCTTTTCTTGTTACTCAGGAATTTTGATGTTCTACCTGTAATTTTGCTAGGGTCTGCTTCAAGGGGGATTTTAATGAAGCATGGAAAAAAACATATTGTGCTTGATGAAACTAGACGCAATACATACAATTCCTACTCCCTAACTTGCGGACAGGAACCATCAGTATTAACAACCTTCGATAAAGAGAGAAAGCAGCTAATTGCTGTAAGTATTCATCACTTGAACTGATAAGGATTGTGAGTGTTGAATGCCTTGTTAGACATGAAGCCATTTTCTTTGCATTTAATTTAATATGCTTGAGTATGGTTTGAGTTGTTACTTGGCACGGTAGCACAGTATCAGGGTGTGATCGAAAATATCGTAATCCAGAAGGTTTAGAATTGGACATTGACTTATTGGCATGGTCATTATAATAAAGCTTTGATTGTGGTTTTAGTTTTTACTCGGCAAGCTTCAGAATGATATCAGGCTGTCGGCCAAAGCATCGTATCTTAGTTAGAATTGAATACCAACTTATTGGCATGGTCCATATAATAAAGCTTGAGTGTGGTTTTACTTTTTACTTGGCAATGCTCAGCATGATATTCGGCTGTTGGCTAAAACATCGTAATCTAGAAGATTTAGAAGTGGATGGTGACATATTGGCATGGTCAAATAATTACCTTTTTTTTTTTTTTTTTTTTTTTTTTTTTTTTTTTTTAATTATCCTTGTAGAAGGTAATTGAGTTGGTATGGCCGCATGGGTGTGAATTTTTTGGGTTGGTATGGGTGTTATTTTTTTAGGCCTCTTTGTGAAATTCATGTATCCTGTGAGTGTTGATCTCACCTTATATATCTAGATGACGCGCACTAGGGTATTAGATTTTTCTGTCTTTCATCCTCTGTGGTCCGATTAATGGTATATGCATGAAAGAAATGCAATATCCTTGAATTGCTGTTAGTCCCAAATTGAAAGTTTGGACGCTTCTTTCTTCTGCTCTCTGACTTTGTTTTTTTCTATGTTTCTCAGGTGGGGCTTCATACAGAGTATGGTTATGCGAGAAGTTTGGCACGGTTTGCTGCTAAAATTGGACCTGTTGCGTGGAAAGTCGCTTCAAAGAAGATTGAGAGATGCTTACCTGCTGCTGTCAAGTTTGGCCCAGGATGGGTAGGAGAAAATGAAGCTCCTGCAGAAAGGCCGATGCAGCAACAGTCACCTGCTTCTGTTGGTCAACAAAACCCACCATCCTCGTTGCCTGCACCTACAGATACAACTTCTACTCCTACTCAAGGTGTAGCAGATTCAAGTGGTGATGGATCAGCGCAAAAGCCACAAGGAGAGCAATTGTCTGAGATGCATAAAGTGTGTAATAAATCAAACTTAAACGAGGAGTCTAGCAAAGCCCTTTCTCCTCCAGCTGTTGGCAATGATGCTACTCCAGTTACTTCTTCCAAAGTGTCCAGCACTGGTGCTGAGCCCAACTTGATCGCACCTGAAGCTAGTGCAAGTTCACCATTGACTACAATGGTCAGCATATTAAATAATGGCACTGGTTCCAGGAAACCCGGAAATCCACACCCCATTAATCAAACTTCAACTTTGCAATCCTGTATTAACGGGGTTAATGGTAGTTATGGGCTTAATTTTGCAGCCCAGATGGGGAAAATGATTGGGGCAGCAAGGCCTGCAATGTTCAATCTTCAGTCCAATGCATCAATTGTGACTGTGTCCAGAACTGAGACACAGAGTCCTCGGCCTCAGACCATTGATAATAATGGTTTTGGAGAAGCTAAGTTGTTGGAAAACTCTAGTACAATAAAACCTATTGAAGGTTTACCGAACGTGGGGTCCAATCCAAAAGTTGGTTCCACTCCGCCTGACTTGAATGTTGGATTTCAGTCGCCAAAATCTCCAGTTTCTGGGAAGGCTGATTCAGTGCAGCCAGATTTGGCATTGCAGCTCTAGTCTTCAGGTAATTTTTCCCCTTTCATTACTTTAACGCCGGTGAACGGGTTTCAGATTGTTGCACCCAATGAGTAGAGTAGAGAGAGCGAGTGTCTCTCCTCTTTATGGGGCGATTGAGTTGAAGCCGTATCTAACTGTATTCTTAGTTGAGTAGTTCGTGTACAGATTTGCGTATGGAAATTCTTAGGTTAGCAAGTGATGAGGCGTCTCATGTAACATTAATTGGAAGCTGTGTTGTAGACTAGAATTTATTTATGTGCAAGATCATATAAATGTCATACATAAAAATTGTTGCTCAAATTGATAATAACATAGTTGAGTTTGTTAAGTCTTGAATATGTGTCTTCCAAACCGCTCCTTATCTCTTAAGGTGTCCTGAACCCCAGGAAACGGGCCTCATTTTGGACAGGACACCTGAAATGATTTGTATTCGGCTATTCGCCTTCGATGTTTCAACTCAGCCATGGTATTCTCTTTAACTTTTTCTCCTTCAAACGTTTATTTTTTCACCAATTATTTTTTATTTTTTTTTCTTTAATTTTTCGTATATGGATAATGATGCCTTCCAAGTTTTCTACATACGAATACCACGTAATTAGCTACAATTTAAAAAAAATAAAAATAAAAATAAAACCTGACTACTAAAAAGTGGCGACTTCGTATATATTCTTCACTTGTGTCCCAAGAGTTGGGCATGGGCTTGGTTGGCAGTTTGGCACAAAGGTGGATTAGACACAGCAAGAAAATGGGTTGACCTAGCAGGTGAAGCATGCCTATGTGTGAACATCATTTTCAAAATTTGGCACGATCACAATCTTGACACCACACATTCTAACGTTGTATAGGCTCTATTTATACAAGGTTGGCTCCATATGACTTTCTTGACTTGTCTCAGACAATCCTCATTTGAACACGAGAATTGTAAGATAACTTAATCATTACATTATACACTAAAGGCGAATCTAATATGACACTTGTCATGTTTTGAGTAAAAAAATTCTCGCCACTTTTACTTTTCTATTTTTAACAAATATTTATTACATTATACTAAAGACGAATCTAATATGACACTTGTCATTCATGTTTTGATTAAAAAAATTCCCGCCACTTTTACTTTCCTATTTTTAACAAATATTTATGAACATTATTTTATAATATCCTGTAATATTTAACTTTCAATTTGACAACTATATATAAAGTATATTCTATATGCATTCAATGAAAATATTTTGACATATAATATTTTATAATAGGTATTTTACGAAAAAGAAAATCAAGTATTTATTTCAATTAAAAATATTGATTTTTATTTTTAATTAATTATTAATTATTGTTAAATTAACATTATAATTTATAAATATGCTAAGTAAAAACCGTGCATTGCACGGGACTTAAACTAGTGTAATACTAGTACGAAATATATGTTATAATGTTATATCCTTTTGCATTAAAAGTAAGATGGCTTGAAGACTTGCCCCGCCCGACCTGTACCCGTATGGCCATATGAACATGTCTATGACGTAACCAATCACTACCTCCGGTTCGTATTATATTATATCTCACAAATAAGCACCAAAGTTGCATATAATACGAACCGGAGGTAGTAAAAAAAAAAAAACATTCAAATGCTATCGCTCTTATCAATATATGCGGACAATACCACATCTACAATTAATGGGATATTAGAGGACTAAGCTATTAATTCTTTGGTTGAGCATAAATCATATGGAGGAATTGGAAAGGTCATGGAAATCTGTTTGTAAATACAGTACTGTAATATTTTCTCACACAATAGTTATCCCCATTATGAAATTCTGATATCATTTGAAGTTTCATACTCCCTCCGTCCCTAAATTACATTCCTGTTTTCCTCTATTATGTGAGGAATAAATGCTAGAAATAGGAATATAATTTAGGGATGAAGGAAATAGCATACTATACTAATAGTCTAAAATCAACTAACCTACGGAGTATTAAAGACGGAGGTACCCCACAACAATATCTTTCTTGATACTGCCAAAAACAAAAAAAAAAAAAAAAAAAAAAAAAAAAAAAAAATAAGAATTTTTTTTTTTATCATACTTTACTAAGCAAATACTGACAAATAACACAGATTGATCCACAGGGAAAATATGTTTACCAAGGATTCAGTTAAATAAAATCCACAGGTTGTTCCGTCAGAGGCGTTTTGCAGTTCATAGAATCATAATTGTAAGCTCCTCCTTCCTGTAGGAAAATTATGTTCTCAGCTAATTTACTACTTGTCTGAAAAAACACTCTGATGTACGAAACCTTCATCCATTACTGATGAATTTTAAGCTATACAGGAGATAAAATGCAGACAGCGAAGCATTTCCATTCCTGAATCCTGATATTTGCTTAAAGCTGTCTTATTAGTCTTACACATATCCGGGTTAAATGACCTGATAGCACTTGATCATCACAAAATTATACTCCGTAAAAACTAAATAGGCAGATTTTATGAAGTGTAGTCTTTTTAAGGAATTAAATTCACTGTGAAGTAATTGTCTAGAGCAGAAACTGCTGCAGGCTTGCAGCAGATATTGTTTTGAAGTTGAGAACTCTGGTTAATCTTTACTTCATGTTTCATCCGAAACTTTGATAACATTTTTGGTGAAATGGCTTCATTTTTCAGCTCTCTCCGTCAATGTCATCCTCTCCATGGGTGGACTTTTAGCGCCATCCCCGTGTTTTCACTCTGAAGACTTTGTCAAATTCCTCTCCATTTCTCTGCCGATACAGTGATCAGGAAATGTATGTATGATGTATATCTACTGAGAGGTCCTACAAATAGCCCAAGTCAAGTAAACGGAGGAAAATCTAATGTGAAAGGGTTCAATTTCTAAGCATTTTATTAATTTTTGATTTTGTCTACTCTACGCTTGCTAACCATGAATTAGCCTCCCCAGTACACAAAGGTAATAGCTTTTTTCAATTCTTATTAATTATTTACCACTTTTATTCTTAAGTCTTAGTCTTTGTCTGCATCTTCGTTGCATTCCTCTAACAATCCTCTTCAAAAAGATAATAATAAAAATTGTAACAGTTTTTTCACCAGAGTTTCACATATAATATATGTAAGAACTAAGAAATAATTTGGAAATTTCATAGCAGAGTTATTTTCCTGAAAGTTGATTACAGATTTACAGAGCATTTTCCTAGTAATTCCTCCTTATCACTCATAGTCATAGGGCTTTATTGTGCTGTCTAAATAAACTGTATTATACGTGCACATAAATTCAAAACATACCATTTTCTATTGTTGTTTGCATTTCCTTCATCACCTTTTCTTGTAAAATTACTGATTGATTACTCATAAGGAAGTGAATAAGTGCAGTAGGAATGGATGTGTCAGTAGTTCTCACGCTGGTACAAACTCTTATCCAACTGCTGGACACTCCCGTTGGAGAGGAAATCGAATCCTTATGGGGTTATAAATCCCAGCTTGAGAAACTCAAGGCCACTATGTCCACCATCAGAGCGGTGCTCCTTGATGCTGAGAAGCAAGAGAGACAGCAACTTGAGCTCAGCCACACATTACAAGACAAGCTCGGGAGGCTCAAGGAAGCCGTTTACAAAGCTGATGACTTGTTTGATGAGGTCGCTACTCTTGCCCAGCGCAAGAAGCTCATGTCTGGTAGCAGTGTGAGGAAAGAGGTACGCCTTTTCTTCTCTCGCTTTAATCAGCTCCGTTCTGCTTTCAATATGTCTCGTGAAGTTAAAAAGATCAAGGAGATATTGAATGATGTTGTTAGAGATCATCATGGCTTTGGCTCGAGACCACAGCATGGTCATGAGGTATGCGAGGTGAAAACCGAAAGGGACTCTCACTCTTTTGTACACGAGGAAGATGTTATTGTTGGGAGAGATCAAGACAAGAGGATAGTGATAGATATGTTACTAGACAGTTCTGTTGCCGAGGATGTTTCTTTTGTGACCATAGTTGGGATGGGAGGGTTGGGGAAGACAGCTCTTGCCCAACTTGTGTATAATGATGAGGCAATTGAAAGGGAATTTCCATTGAAGATGTGGGTTTGTGTCTTTAATGATTTTCATACCAAATTGCTTCACAAAATTCTCACATCTGTAACAAACCAAGCAGATTATGTTGGCTTAGAAATGGAGCAGCTCCAGAGAAGATTGCGACAGGAACTTGAGGGAAAGAAGTATCTGCTTGTTTTGGATGATGTTTGGAATGAGGATTTTAATAAGTGGCACAAGTTGAAAATTTTGCTGATCGGAGGTGGTAGAGGTAGCCGAGTTATTGTGACCACACGCTCTAAGAGGGTAGCAGACATGGTGGGAAACCGCTATATGTTTGAATTACATGGTCTTTCAGAGAGAGACTCCTGGAACTTATTTGAGAGAATGACTCTAGAAACTGGGCAGGATGAAATTGAGCCATACTTGGTCAATACTGGAAAAGAAATTGTCCAAAAGTGTGCTAATGTTCCTCTTGCCATAAGGGTTGTAGGAAGTCTTCTTCGAGGCCAGGCAGAAAGTAGGTGGCGATTTTTGAAAAACACTGCCTTGGCAAACATAGAACCTGATGAGAATGACATAGTTCGTGCATTGAAGATTAGCTATTATTATCTTCCGTACCATTTGAAGAGCTGCTTCAGTTATTGTGCTGTATTCCCCAAGCATTACAAGATCAAGAAGGAGGATTTGATCAGTCTCTGGATGGCACAAGGTTTTATCGTTCCATTAGGCAGAGAGAGTCTTGAAGATGCTGGCCTGGTGAGGAGTACTTCATGAAATTTACTGCAAAGGTGCTTCTTTCAAGATGTAGAGCGAGCTGACAATGGTGAAATTCTGACATGCAAAATGCATGATCTGATTCATGATCTCGCTACAGAAGTAGCTGGAGCAGAAATCTTGTCATTCAGCTACGATACAAGCTATTTTGATAAGAAAACTCAAGTCATCTATTTGTCAATAATACTGTTGGTCGAAAAGATTTTAGAAGATATTTGACCACAATGAAAAGAATGCGTACAATTTTGAACATAGGGTACCCCAACCCTTTAGAAAGCCCTGAAGTGCTGCTTCCAAAAGTGAGATATTTAAGGGTATTAGATTTACATGGGGCTTCATTTGAAAAGCTACCGAACATGATAGGTGAATTGTTGCATTTAAGATATCTTGACCTGTCTTGTAATCGTAGTTTATCTGTGTTGCCCTTGTGCATTACCGAGCTTTATAACTTGCAGACATTCTTATTGCGTGGTTGTGAGTCACTAAAAGAGTTGCCGAGGGGCTTCAGAAAATTAGTTAATCTTAGGTGTCTAGATATATTTGATTGCAATAGTATGACACATATGCCTCCAGGGATGAATAGTATGACCTATCTCAATAAGCTAACTATGTTTTTAGTTGGCGGTACAAGCAGTGCTTGCTGTTTGAGGCCAGTAGGTGCTGGTGGACTTAGCGACTTAAAGTATCTCAACAATCTCACTGGAAGTATGGAAATCAAGGTTCACAGAGGTTTAACATATGATACAGCAGAAGCCAAGAAAGGCGGGCATCTGATACACAAGCAAAATTTACGGGGTATAAACATATGCTGGACGCAAAAGCTTTGTGGAATGGAAAACTCCAGGTTTATTGAAGATGACAGTGAGGGTGCTAATGCAGAAGCATTACTTCACGGCCTGCAACCCCACCCCAATCTAAAGTTGTTTGGATTGTGGGATTATCCAGGTGTGAGGTTTCCGAGCTGGGGGAGCTCATTGGTGAATAATCTTGAAGCTTGTCTCCCGAATATTGTTGAAATTGAACTTTATGGATGTAAAAGATTGGAGCATCTGCCATTATTGAGCCAACTGCGTTATTTGAAATCCCTTGAACTTGTTGGATTAATCAAATTGGAATACGTGGAGAGTATTTATGGAGACGAGGCACCCACAGCATCAGTAGTGTCAAGAAAAGCAGTATCAGTAGCAGATGACTTAGTCTTCTTTCCATCCCTTGAAAAGCTTGTTCTAGGAAATCTTCAAGAGTTGAAGGGATGGTGGAGATCATCATTGCATCTTGATACAGACTCAGGCAACAGTGAGGCCGAACCATTCACAAAATCTTTCCCCCGGTTGTCTTATCTGCATATATGGTTGTGCTGGAACCTGACAGATATACCTCTCTGTCCAAAACTGGAAAAATTGGAGTTGAGCAGATTCAATAAAGCATTAGGCCCAATAACTAGACCAAGAAGTGAGAGGAGATGCGTTGGTGATGTAAGGTCTTCCTCTACAGAATCAAATAGGCTGTACCCTGGTGATGATTCTCCATCAACATCAAGTACTCGACAGACGCAGCAGGAGCAGCAGCAGCAGCAAATACTAGGAGGACTGAAGGAAGTTAAGATAGATAAAGTAGGGTATCTGAAATCCTTGCCCCACGAGTCTTTTCAGAGCCTTTCTCATCTGGTGGTAAGAGGTGACCATGATATGGAAAGTTTAACAGAAGAGGCAGGGGAGGTGTTCCGAAGTGGCCGTCTGTCCTCTTTACACTCCCTTGTAATTTCTGACTGCTCCAATTTGAAGAGGCTATCAGGAGAGGGAGTGTGGGAGCATCTCACCGCCCTTAAGAGCCTACATCTGAAGTTGCTTTCTGAGTTGGAGTTGGATGATGATTATGGAGATCTCAACACTCGAGGATGCACAACCGAGGATAATCATGGCATTGATACTGACATTCCCTGGAAATACCTTTATCAGACTCTACATTCCTTGGTATTATGGTACCTCCCAAAGCTGGTGAAGCTACCAAAGGGAATGAACTGCCTGAGTTCCCTTCAATTCCTCCAAATTACAAACTGTGACAATTTTGAAGCCCTACCATCATGGATAGCCTGCTTCTCATGTCTCCAGTCTCTTGTAATTCGGAATTGCAAACAACTGAAATCACTGCCGGAAGAGATTTGTCACCTCGGTTCTTTACAACAACTTGATTTACGGGGATGCTCGCCAGTGTTAAAAGAAAGATGCCAGGAATCCACTGGTGCTGATTGGCCTAAAATCCAACACATACCTCGCATTGATGTCTAAAGGAAAATAAAGAGGTAATTATTATTCTCGCTTGTGATTTATTTATTTTGGTCTGTTGGGGACAAAATGATTTTAAGTATCGATCATAGGTGAGCATAGGAATCTGCAGAAACTGGGATGATAAATTCTTCTCTAAGCAGACTTAAACATTATCATGCAGATGCGAGTGTCACCAGGATGACTACCTGCAACTGAGGTGATAGCTTATGAACGTTTTAATGGTCAAAGGAAACTTGCTTCAAAGAAGACCGGCAGATGCTCTCTGTGAAAAAGTTTATCAAGGTTGGATAAATATGAATAATCTTCAATTCTTCATCTTTGAAACATAGTGGAACGGGGTTTAGATCTGAGAGTTAGTCTCTAGTGAGTAGTGACCGTGTATGAAAACTGGAATGAACTGTCTCTGATGGTCTGACCTCCGACATCAGCTGTAATATTATAAACTGAAAACCGGCCTCATTTGACAAAGTTGAAGCCACATCTCTAATTGTATGTTTAGAGTAGTAGTTGTAGAGATTTTTGTACTGATGTTTGCTAGCAAATGAAGTAATACCTCCTGTTACAAAATTACCTTATGACCTGGTATATATTTTTCCTAGACTGTGTAAAATCAGGGGATCTCATCTTTTGCAGTAAATTGCTTGTAACTTCTTATAAGCAATTCAACTAAACATATGAAATAAAAGAGAATCTACGCTCATAAATCTTACCATACGTCTATACATATTTGTTCGTGTAACACATACCTGATATACGTAGTATTAACAGCAAAAATGTTAAACCTCATTATTATGGAAACTATTCTATAAAATTCATTAGTGTTACTCTCTTTCATTCCATACGTTTGGGTGTGATTGAATTGTGATGTGAGGTTTGCATTGCATATAATATTGGGATAGACATCCTGATCTAGACATTAAATTGAATAATCTGGAACTAGCAGTGCTAGTCCTGTAAAACATTATCCTTTCATCAAGTAATAGATGTGAATTACTTGCTGATTGGCTACACCTACACTGCTATAATTGATTCTTGCCACATCCTTTTTGTCTCTCGTTTTTTATGGTCCAATTTCTTGTTCACTGACCTGGTGTTTTCAATGTGACTCAGGTAGGGCTGCATCCAGTTATCGGTATATGCAACAAGTATGGTGTGAGTTGATGCTAATCTTGGACCAGTTACTTGGAGCGTCGCTTACCCTCCACAGGTATAATGAAGAATATCAGCGTCACTGTCTGCTGGGCCTCAACTCTCAAGTCAAGTAAACCAAGGAAAATAAGGGTTAGTTACTTGTGGTTCTCATCTCTAGTGTATACAACTTGTACAAATAAGACAATGTGGTTACATTCCGCAATTATTCATATCACAATCACATTCATTGCAAGTTGAAAGAGTAAACTAATGGGAATTTTCTTAACCGTGTATGAAAATATTACAGAGATTGTAAAACATTATCTTAAACTTTTCAATCGAGAAATGAGAAGAATAAATATGATCAAAAAGAATATTATAATTTTTTCATTCGTAGTGGTTAGTTCTTTTTGATGATAAACATTTTTTAAAAGTGAAGGTATTTTTTCCCTCCATAGGTGAAAAGCATTTTCTAAATGTAAGAAAGATATCCTCTTTACTCCCTTACGTATCTTTTATACCAATAACTTCTAGTTTTTGCAAGGAAACAAATTAGAGAGAGGAAGGAGAAATAACGGGAAAGAATTATAGACAATTGAAATTGATGGGAAAAAAGGGAAAAAAAAAAAGACAAAATAAAGAGGGTTTTTATTTTTTTTTATTTTTTATTTTTTTTAAGTTACTTGTTGGACACATGATGATCAATGACTTATTTAAGAAAAATAAAGTTTAGAATTCGGTGAAAGATCCATCCTTTTTCAACATACATGATTACATGGGATATAAGGATTTTTTTTGGCATCAATATACCTATATTAAAGGCGAAATTAAAAATGACACTTGTCATAACCTGGTTAAAAAATTTCCCTCCAAAAGGTTTTTTTTTTTTCCAAAGCTTCTTAGAGAAGTATTTAATTTAATACTTACTTTACAATAATATTTCTTTTCTATTTGACAAGTATATTTATTTTTACACATTCAACAAAGATTTATTTATTTTATGACGGGAACAAAGTCAAATAATACAATAATATAATCTTATCTATAACTTTATAATGTAATCCATAGTTATTTTTATTAGTCGTGCATGCATTTCTTCCTCCGTTTTCTTTAATAATTTAAAAAAATCGTAATTACAGAACTTTCATCCTATTTTAAAATTTGATATTATTTTTTATAGTAAAATAATTGTATTAAACTAACGATAAATATTGAAATTACCGTGCATGACACGGGATCTAACCTAGTATTTTTTTATATAAGAACATTTCTCACAATGTCAACCACTTTAAAGGACCTTTGTGACAAATTTCCTTTATTTAATTATACACTTTGGTTCATTGGGGGTTGAGCTTGTAAATTTTCCACTCCGTAATAAATACTTTAACGTCCAATCAGGGTTGAGCTAGCCCATTATTGACTTACTGTACTACTCTCAATTATACCTGTATGTATGAACGTAGACTCAGTTGTAGGGACGTTTTCCCAAAGTAAGCTTAAGTAGCAAAATATATACGTAAATGGTTGCGTAGCAAAAGTATTTACCAAACTAAGATTTCAGGGTAAAACGCTGTCTCGTACAGCGTTTTATGCCCTGGTTTTTTTTTATAAAAAATTCAACTTAAAAACGCTGTCTCAGACAGCGTTTTACATGTTGACTTTTGTTTTTTAAATTTCGTAATTTTTGATATTAAAAAAAAAAATTTACACTAGCGGTTTTAGTGCATAATTTTTTTTTTTTTTTTTAATTTCTAGTTTAAAAACAAAAAAAGAAAAAAAAATATTATACACCATTGCGTTATTATGATAATGATTGTATTCTTTGGGGTGGATAATTATCAATATGTGATAATGATTGTATTATTTGGGTGGATAATTATCAATATGTGATAATTATCATATCGTATTCGAGTATTGCGGTTGGGGTTGGGATACGATTGTTGCTTCCTATCTTCTTCTCCTCTTTGTATTTAAGTCCATATTCACATGATTGCAATATACTGAAAATACATATGCTTTGATTGCTGTCATTGTTTTGTGTTTAACAAAATCAATTCATGAGCAAATTCTACATACCATCCAAAACGAAGGTGTGTTGCTCAAGTAAAGCCACAACAGAGGACAGAAAAGGTTAAAGGTAGGAGTATAGTGAAAGTGAAGGAGAAAAGAACAGTAGAAACTTTGATTAAAGGAGTGAAAATAGGAAGAGGGTCAAATAATTGGTAAAAACCAAATATAAAAAATCCTAAAAGGAGACACTAATCTATAGTGCATGAACATTACGTGTAGAACAAAGAAGAAAAAAGGTTAATTAAGCTAGGAAAATGGGGCAGCTCAAGAACACAACAGCTTTAATATTTTTTTTTCTTTTTTTATTTTTAAACTAGAAATTAAAAAAAAAAAAAAAAAATTATACACTAAAACCGCTGCCTCAGGCAGCATTTTAGTGTAATATTTTTTTTTTTAATATAAAAAATTACGAAATTTAAAAAACAAAAGTCAACATGTAAAACGCTGTCTGAGACAGCGTTTTTAAGTTGAATTTTTTATAAAAAAAATTAGGGCATAAAACGCTGTCCGCCTGAAAGCTTAGTTTGGTAAATACTTTTGCCACGCAACCATTTACGTATATATTTTGCTACTTAAGCTTACTTTGGGAAAACGTCCCAGTCGTAGAGTACCAATTCAAACAGTAAAATGCTTATAAATTATTGTACCGAGGAATCTTAAACATTCACATTACCAAAAGAAAGAAAAAACAAACACCTAGTGTATTTCCTTTGTATTCCTCAAAAACCATTAGCCCACAAGAAAAAAGAGAGAGAGAGAGATGGATGTGTCAGGAGGTCTTTCACTGGTGCAAACAATCCTTCAAGTGTTGGGTTCTCCCACTTGGATGAAATTTGAAGCTGTTTTAAGTGTGAAGTCCCGGCTAAACAAGCTCAAGGACACCATGTCCACTATCGAGGCCTTGCTCCTTGATGCTCATGAAATTGAGCAGCTGCAGCAACATCGCTTTACCCATATTGAGCGTGACAGGCTTCAGAGGCTTAAGGAAGCTCTTTACCAAACTGATGATCTGTTTGATGAGATTGCCACTCTTGGTCATCTTAAGGAGCTCATGCCTTGTAGTAACTACAAGATGTGTAATGAGGGACGCTGTTTCTTCTCTTGCTCGAATCAGCTTTGTTATGCTTTCAAATGGTCTCGAGAGATGGACAACATTATGGAGATGTTGGATGCTACTGTCAAAGATCATCGATTTGACTTTGGCTTGAGACACCCGACTGGTCTTGGACTGAAGAAGGAGAGACTTAACGCAAGGGAAACTTATTCCTATGTGTGCGAGGGAGATGTGATGATTGGGAGGGAGGAAGACAAGCGGAAAGTGATAGATGTGATGTTACTCAACACTACTGTTGAGCAGCAGGATGGTTTTGTTGTCAGCATTGTTGGGATTGGAGGCTTGGGGAAAACTACTCTGGCCCGTCAGGTTTATAATGATGAGATGATTGTGGAGAAATTCCCTCGGAAGTTGTGGGTTTGTGTATCCGATGATTTTAATGTCAAAGCTTTAGTTGGTCAAATCCTTGCAGCTGTAAACCCACTAATCAAGCAGGATCAAATGAAATTGGAAGAGCTCCAGACAGACCTTCGGAAAGAACTGGATGGGAAGAGGTACCTCCTTGTGTTGGATGATGTATGGAACGAGGATTCCAACAAGTGGCTTGAGTTGAGAAATGTATTGATTGGAGGTGGGAGGATTAGCGGAATTGTAGTGACTACTCGCTCCAAAAGGGTAGCTGAAGTTGTTGGAAGTTTATATACACATACATTGATGGGTCTCTCAGAAGATGAATCTTTGGAGTTGTTAAAGAAAATGGCACTCAAACCAGAGGAGTATCCAATGAAGCCACAATTAGTTGATATTGGAAGACAGATTGTTCAAAAGTGTGCAAATGTTCCACTTGCCATAAGGGTGGTCGGAAGCCTTCTTCGAGGTCAAGATGAAAGTAGGTGGCAATACTTGGAAAAAACTAACTTGGCAAGTGTATTACAAGATGAGAGCAGTGGCATATTACCTGTGTTGAAGATCAGTTACTATTATCTTCCGTTCCATTTAAAGAGCTGCTTCAGTTACTGTGCTGTATATCCCAAGGATTACAAGTTTGTCAAGGAGGATTTGATCTGTCTTTGGATGGCTCAAGGCTTCATTATGCCGTCAGATGGAAAGAGTTTAGAAGATACCGGTGAGGAGTACTTTGAGCAGTTGCTGCAAAGGTGCTTCTTCCAGGATATAGAACGATCTGAGGGTACTAACGAAATTATATCATTTAAAATGCATGATCTCATTCATGATCTAGCCTCAGAAGTAGCAGGAACAGAGATTGTGTCTTCCAACTGTAATCCAAGCTGTTTGAATGAGAAAACTCGCCATATCTCTATTGATGAAAGTAGTAAACTACGTACTTCAGATAAAATGAAAAGGTTGCGTACATTTTTGTTTACTGATCGGAGTCTTCGTTTCTGGCTGAAGTCGTCCAAAAAAATGAAATATTTAAGGGTATTACGCTTAAATGATTCTTTTCTCCAAACAAAGTTGCCGGGTGTGGGTAAGTTGGTGCATCTAAGGTATCTTGACCTCTCACATAATAGAGGATTGCGTGTATTGCCCTCGTCCATTACCAACCTTTACAACTTGCAAACATTAAAGTTGTATAAGTGTACGAGTTTAGAAAGTCTGCCAAGAGACTTGAGAAAACTAGTTAATCTAAGGCTACTAGATATTTATGGTTGCCGGAGTTTGACTTGTATGCCTCCTGGAATGAACAGCATGGCATCTCTGCAAAACTTGACAGGGTTTGTAGTTGGTGGAACAAGCAATGCTTGGTATAGAGGCTCGGCTGGTGTTTTTAAGCTTGAAAATCTGAAAAATTTAATACGTCATAGTGAAATTCTGGAAATAGTTGTTAAAAAAGGTGTGAAATATAATGCTGTAGAATCAAGGAAAGGGGGATTTCTATGTGAAAGTAAAAAACTAAGAAATATCAGGTACTATTGGATAGGTTGGTTGCATAGTAATGAAAGTGATAATGCCGAAGCATTGCTGCAAAGCCTACATCCCAACTCTTATCTTAGAAAGTTAGAGTTGCAGGGATATCCAGGAGTGAGGCTCCCAAGTTGGACAATGAATCTGAATACTAGTCTCCCAAATCTTGTTGAGATTGTTATTCATGGTTGTGACATGTTGGAGCATATTCCATTGATGAGTCAATTGCGTCACTTGAAAGTCCTTGAATTAGATGGATTGTATACAGTGGAGTATGTGGAGAGTAGTAATAATAGTGGAGGTGAAGATGAGTTGGTATTCTTTCCATCCCTTGAAAAGCTTCGGCTTTGGAATATGCCAAAGTTGAAGGGATGGTGGAAGTCATCATCAGTATCAGAATCAGAATCAGAGGAGAGTGAGACACCGCAAGCACCAAAACTTTCTCATCTTGAGATACATGGATGTCCAGAATTGACAACTTTTCCTTTATGTCGGGGACTGCAACAATTGGACTTAAAAGATTTTAATGAAGCGCTGGGCCCACTTATAAGGGAGACTACTCAGCAAAAGGAGGAAGAACGACATAGAAGATTGAGGGAAGTTAGGATAGATAACTTGGCATATCTTAATTCTCTACCCATCCGATCATTCCACCATATTTCGAATTTTCGTATTAACGAAGATCAGAAAATAGAGGAATTGAAAACAGGAGAGGTGGGTGAGGTGTTCCGAAGCGGCCGCCTGTCCTCTCTTCGCTCCCTTGATATTTGGCGATGCTATAATTTGAAGAGTATATCAGGACGAGGAGTGTGGGACCAATTCACTGCCTTGGAGGGTCTATCACTGTGTTATCTTCCTGAGTTGGAATTGGAGGATGAAGATGATGTCATCAACAACAAAAGCACAGAAGAAGGATGCATTAATAATAATAATGAAGGAAGTGACGCAGAGATGCCATGGAGATACCTTGCTCCCACTCTCCGTTCCTTGAGATTAGAGAGTCTACCAAAGGTGGTGAAGCTGCTAAGGGGGATTGGATGCTTATCATCTCTCCATTCCTTGACATTATGGAGACTACCAAAGGTGGTGAAGCTGCCAAAGGGGATTGGATGCTTATCATCTCTCCATTCCCTTGAAATAGGCTTTTGTGATAATTTGGAAAGCCTAACACCATCAATAGGCGGCTTATCATCTCTCCAATCCCTTGAAATTGAGTACTGTCTAAAATTGAAAAGAATGCCAGAAGAGATGCGCCACCTCACCTCCTTAACCAAACTTCATATATGGAAATGTAGCCCAGAGTTAATGAAGGAATGCAAGAACAAGAATGGTGCTAACTGGTCCAATATCCAACATATCCCCGACATTAAACTAGGTATGACAGATAAAATAGGGGTTATTATTATTAATGTCGTCTTTTCACTGTTCTTAATTTTGCAACGTTTTTAAAGAATGGATTGCTTATCATATCTCTAATACCTTTTTCATATTTGCTTCAGATTATGACTAAAATCAGTGCCCGAAAGAATTCGTTTACTCAATGTTCATTAATATATAACTCAACTGCTCAAAGGTAATAATGTCTACCCCATATTATTCAATTTTGTAGCATATGATGCCTTGTCAATTATCATGTTAGTATTATTATTTTAGTATTACCAAAATAACTAATGATGCAAATTTTCTATGATGATCACTTGAGAGTTCTGATCTTAGGAGTAAGAGGAAATCCATCAGATTTGTTTGGCTCGAAGATTTTCAATTGCTTTAAGTTTTCGCTCTGGGTTTTGTTGCCGAAATTATTGTTCGTGAACTTCGGTTTCTGGGTTCCTCGGTTTCGATTGGAGACTACTAATTAGTGTTACTTGTTGATTGGGTTAGTGTTAAGCCCGGTGGTTGGTGGAGTTTGTGGCCTCCGTCGTCGTCACTGCGGGTTGTGTTCTCCAGTGGTGATGGAAGGAAGTTGGGTGTGTTCTGGTTCACTATTACTTCCCACATTCTTTATTGGCTTGAGACTTTCTGCGAAATCTGGTATAATTCTCATGCTTTCACTCCTTGCTAGATTGGTGATTTAGTGTTTTTGGTGTATATTGATTGATTGGAGGTGTAGTCAAAATTTGTTGATATTGGATTTGGGTTGTTCTTGATTGATAGTTGAATTGAAGTTTGAGCTGTATTGGTGATTGATATGTTTTGTGATGTTGATATTGCTCTGATACCATGTTAAATTTGAGAGTTCAAGGAGGAAGAAAAGAGAAAAGAGAGTGTGCTGCCATTGATGAACTTGAGAGAAGTTTGAAGGAAGAGAGAGAAAATGAGAGTATATTCTTTAGAATGAGAATGTTGGAAAATACAAAGATACTTACATCATACTACTTGTGTATATTTATACTACTAAGTACATTAGCCAAGGAATACAAGTAACCAACTACTTTACACTAATATGTAATCTCCAACACTATCAGATTGTGCTATTAAAAGGACTAGAGAAACCAACTGCTTTTTACAACCTTGTCAAAGTGCTTGTTTTTTATATGGTTCTAACTGCTGTTTTTTTTTTTTCTTCTTTTTTTTTTTTTTTTTTTGTCAAATACTTGTCATGCAGAAAGATTGTTACTTGAAGTGTTTGAATTGAAGGAGACTCAACATAATACTCCAGATTCCAGAATATAGCTTTGTTCAAGTATTAACAGGTAGCAAGGACTCATTTCTGAATGCTATACCAATTCTCTTTTTCGTCGTGTTCAGCAGTTTTTAGCTTTTGATATATCTTCCAGAATCCAGATATTACACTATATTTAAAGTTAATTCAATGTAATTCTGGACTAAATGTTTACTGTGGTGTAATGTCAAAATATGGAGTTGTAAATTGACTGAACGTTTTTTTGTTTGTTTTCCTTACAGTTGCCAATCAGCAGGGCTGTGAATTTAACATAAAAGTTTCGTGGTTCTCATCTTGGTGTTTTGCGTGATATTTCCTGATGTGAAGAGGACTTCAGAGCTGCTTTGATGAACTGATTATCGGAAACTCCCCGTATAACCCCTCTGAAGTTAGGCAGATTTCCAATAACAGAATATCTACATCTTTTCTTTTACCTTATCAAGGTGTGAAAGGTTCCTTGGTGAAGGAATGCATTCGTTGGATGCGCTGGTTTCAGAAATCAAATGTGGCTACATTACCTACACACACCTAGGAAATGGTTTAACAAGAGAATGTGCTCTATCAGATCAAGTGACATATTGCAGCAGCTACAGGCTTTGTTGCTCTTGCTATATCTGGAAGGCTACAAATTACATGATTTTTCTGTCAAAAATAGAAGTATAAGAACAAAAGTCGACTGAATAATGTTTTAGGGAATAAACCCAACAGAGTTGTGTTTATAGAGCGTCTCAATTGGCTTAATGGTATTTGAGGAGAACCCTACCTAGTAGGTGGCTCTTCTTCCCTTAAGCTCTAGTATAGACTTGTAAAAAATTTCTCTTCACCTGTTTTACTGTGCAAATGAGTAGCCTATTTTTTATAAATGTTCTCTTCAACTGTTCTAGATTCCAAAGAGAGACAAATTTTTTTTCCAGAATTCAGATGTTATGACATGCATCATTATTAGAATGGAGTTAGAAACCCAAATGTATTAAGGCAAGAAATTATTATTCCATTGAATGAGGTGGACAAATTACAAACCTGAGACTTGCTCAAAGCTATTTTACACATCTTGAAAGGGAACAAAAAAATGACATGATATTACAAAAACATCATAGATCTTTCTCAATTTATACAAAAACGTATAAAAAGCCATTGCAGATCATTTGATGAGGTGCAACCTTACTCCAGAGTGTGAATATGAAGGGGCTTGAAGGGATCCAAAATCATTTTGCCTGGATGCTAAATTAGTGGGCAGAATATCAAGTCAATTCTATAAGTTAACTGCAGTATCTGGTGAACTGGTTGTGCTGGGTTTGCCATTTTCAGTCTTCGAACTGCTTCCATTGCTAATTAGGTCTAGGCCATAGACATGACCCATCTTCTTACGCTTTGTTTCCAGATATCTCTTATTCTCACTGGTTATTGGAGTGATAAGTGGCACTCTCCCAGATACAGCAAGACCATAACCCTTCAGCCCTATATATTTAGCAGGATTGTTTGTCATCAGCTTCATTGTTCTAATTCCCAAATCCCTTAATATCTGCATTCATCCCGAAGTTTAATTAGGTCAAATCAACATTCAAACCAAGTCAAGTTACTCAGACAAATCATAACGTGCTTAAAAAATACATGTATTAGAGATGATATAAGATGGTCAATCCAGCTAAATTTAAACAGGCTGCACAAAATTTTCCTGCTCGATAGACCAGCCAATTTCAGGGGTGCAGCCTGGCTTTTGTATACCGTTTGCCCTTTACCCATAAGATTACCAGGTTTGAGCTGATTTTTAAGAGACGAAAAAATGAACTATTTCTTTTGGCATCGGCGCAGCCTGACACATGATTAGCTCTTTCTAAAGAATCTCACATGCAGTAACACATTCATAGGCCAAAAATCTAAGGAATTAATTATAAACAAAAATTTAAAAAAAAAAAAATCAAGGTACTGAAATAGAATTGAGAAGGAAAGAGCAGAAGTTACCTGTGCACCAATTCCATATTCTCTTGAGTCAACCGGTAATCCTAGTTCCTCATTGGCTTCAACAGTATCACGACCAGCATCCTGCAGATTATATGCACGAAGCTTATGGCCCAAACCAATTCCCCTGCCTTCATGCCCGCGAAGGTAGACCAATGCTCCCCTTCCAGCAGCCTCTATTTGCTTCATTGCAAGTGCAAGCTGGTTTCCACAGTCACATCTAGCTGAGCCAAATATATCTCCTGTAAGGCATTCTGAATGAACTCTCACTAGGATATCTTGTCCATCTCCTATTTCTCCCTAATGAAAAAAGAATAATAAAAAAAGATAATCAGTTGCAGAGCAGATAAGTTAGTCAAGCAAAAATCCAACGATTGTTCCCCAAGTGCTACTAGTGCTTACCTAAATTCTTAGCGACATTATTATTTTCAAACCCAAGGACACATACCGAAAGACCTTAAGGTGAAAACAACAATGCTAGCAAAAGGGCTGAGCATCTTGGTTTCCTTTTTAACATTTACTTCCTTGAGTAAAACTAAAATTGGAATAATGATGAAAGAGTTTAGTTACATTTGACCAAATCCAAATACTTGTATAAATAAACCCACCTTAACCATTGCAATATGCTCAATGCCATCCAGGTATGACTTGTAACAATAAGCTGTGAAAGGACCCCACATTGTAGGTATCCTAGCAGCAGAAGAACGTTCAACTAATTGGGCTCTTTTTCTCCGATACCTGCAAATCATAAAATCACTAAATCATTTAACCAATTTTAGAGCCACTACTTTGCCTCAAAATAAGAAAGACGAAAAAGAGATGCAGGTTTCATTCAAGTCCCCTAAATAAGGGAGTGAGCTGTTTCTGAAATTGTGATTGACAAAGAAACGAGGGAAAACAACATAGTTTCCAGCAACAATCTGCTAAGGTTAGCTTTTATTTCCAAAAGCATCCTTTTTTTACCAGAAATGGAAGACTTCATACTAAAATTTTGGAAGAGTACATCAACCACACCATCAAACATTAGTAGCTAAATAACAAGAAGCAAAGGAAGCTTAATAAGGAGGAAAACCTGTCTTTGACCCTTTTATCATAGATTCATAGTTGCAAAAAAAAACCTTTTAGAATGTATTAGCAAAATAATGAAAGTTTATGGGCTCAAAAGTTGAAGAAGAGGTTTGAGAAACGATGCCGTAGCAAAGTGACAAATAGCTTATGGGGTGAAAACCTGAAAATTAGGCTTAAAAGCATAGGGAAAAAAAATGTACACACAAGTTATAGACTTTAAATAATGAAGATCTGGAAAAGTAAGAAAATCAAGCGTGTGTTGGGAATACAAATGGAATCCTCACCAAGTCACCAGATTGTTGAGCTTCACCACCTAAATTATTTTTAGTATATACATCACTGTTGAGATAAGAGTAATTTAGATCTAGCCTGGTGCCCACAGATAATACACAAGTATACTGAATAAATGAGTCCTTTAACTTCTTCTCCATTTGTTTTTTCCAAATTCCAATTGAATAAAGACTCCTCAGTCATACTAATAATCTAACAGCTATCCTCAGTCATACTATTAATCTAACAGCTATGGAGGCTGTTTCTAAACACAGTCAAAATTCACCAGCGAAACAAATTTTACAACTCCAATTCCTTCCCCCTGCTTAGCGGAACTTCTACCGGTTCCAGAGTGTATTAGTATATAGCTACCAATAATATAAGAAGAAGAAAATAAATAAGATCTGAATTGCTCTGACTAACACAAACAGCATGCCCTGATATGTCTGAATTTCTCATCTCTTTAAACAGTTTTATATAGATGAAGCCTAGATACATCAATAATTCCTGTTCTGCAACTATACTTGACAGTAGATTTATGCTTAACCTTGCACATATTTATTAATTATTGATCTCTTCTCCAGAAAATTCTAGTAAAGGCAAAAGAATACTCTGTTCAGTGCTCACCACCACAAGGTTGTTCCTAATCTCTAACATACAAGTCTAATTGGTTCTTTTGGTTCCCCCCCCCCCCCCCCGGCGTGGGAGATAAGCCGAAACGCAGAAAAATAAACTCTGTAATAAACTGCATAGATTGGTATGAATTTCACTCATTGACCTCAGTCTCTTCTACATATGTGATATCAGTGTTACTCCACAAAGAAAATGTGAAAATGGTATGACACTTAAGTGCAATGATCCAGATAAAAATTAGTGATAAAATACCTTATTAGATCTGCAATAGAGACTATTTTCAGGTTTTCCTTCTGTGCAAATTCACGAAGCCTAGGCAATCTAGCCATTGAGCCATCATCATCCACAATCTCACAGATAACTGCAACGGGATTTAATCCAGCTAACATAGCAAAATCAACAGAAGCTTCAGTGTGTCCAGCTCTCTTCAGAACACCACCCTCTTTATACTTCAATGGAAAGATATGGCCAGGGCGGTTAAAGTCCTCAGGCTTGGAGTCCCTCGATGCCAGGGCCTTTACAGTAGTTGCCCGATCACGAGCTGACACACCAGTGGTCGTACCATGTTTTGCATCCTACAGATTTTCATAAGAATAACAAAGAAAATCAGAAAATATGTGTTTTCCGAAACACTATTATCCCTTCAGTAAAGCCAGAAATATCTAGCCAAAACTCCAATGGAAGTTCTAGGAACAAGTTCACCAAAGGTTGTTTATACATGTAAAACCATACTGCATAGGAGTACATACCACTGTAACTGTAAATGCTGTGCAAAGTTTGTCCTCATTATCTTTGACCATGAGAGGAAGCTGCAGTCTTGCCAGATCATCTTCTTTCATGCTGACACAAACAATCCCAGTTCCATGCTTCACAAAAAAGGCCATAGCCTCAGGTGTTGCTAACTCTGCAGCCATTATCAGATCCCCTTCATTCTCCCTGTCTTCATCATCAACAACAATCACCATCTGCAACATCACCAAGGCAACAAACACACCATTCAATCAGCACATCATACCTAATGAAATACCTAAACAAGCACAAATTCTACACATATAAAATATCTACAAACCCATGTAGGGGGACAAACCTTTCCTTGACGAACATCTTCAATGGCCTCAGCAATGGAAGAAAAACCTTCAGTTGGGCGATCTAAATCACACTCATCATTCTCTGCTGCAAACCCCGCAGATGTAGGTGCAGTATCCGCAGAAAGTGCCCCCATAGATACAGAATCGGCTTGCCTCTCAATTCCAAGGGATTGATCATTGTCAAATGCATTTTGGTTCAACATACCATTGTTGTTGGAGTATAATAAATCACCTTCTCCAGAAACAATAGCAGCCCTAGTTCTAAAATTTCCCTTGACTTTGCGCAATGATTTATTCCCTAAACAAAACATGGCTAAATTCGATTTCATTCCTCCAACCAAGCTAACCTTTGTGCTATACAATCCATTCCAAGCTTCATAGTTTTTACTAGCTCTACATCAAGAGAAATTCACCCTCATCATTTCATTATCCGCAATAATTTAACACGAAAACAAATCAAGAACCTATGATGCATTGGTCCTACAAGAGTATGTACCCATATATCTTCAAATCAAATTTATAGCAAACTTTAAAAAAAACTGTACATTATTGCACAAGTTTAACTAGATCATTGCTTATAAAGCTAATTTTACCTTCATCATCTAGTTCACTACCAAATCATATTAATTCGGCAAACGAATAGAAATCTAAACCCAGAATCTTTCACCCATCAAAAATTTCTACATCATCAACCAATTTCAGTCATACATCATCCCCTTGTACAAATTTCAACATACTCACAAATCATATTAACAGAAGCAACCAGAAATTTAAAAGTTCCCGGTAATTCAATCATAAAATCAACCCAGAAACAAAAGACGAAAGCTTAAAAATTAAGACAACCCCAGAAAAAATTACAGCCAAAAATCAAAACCCCACATAATTCCAATGCAAAAAACAGTTGAAAATAAGAAACCAATCACAAATCCAGATTAAAAAGTGCTGAATTTTCAAGTAGCCATTAAAGGAAGAGAAGAGAAAGAGAACATACTGTGAATTGCAGAGAGCAGCAGAAGGAGGAGAGAGATAGACAGAAGCCATGATTGTTGGAAGAAGAAGCCGAAAAATTGTAAGAATATCCAATCCCAAACAAAATTGAATAAATAAAAGTTGAAAAAGATGAGTGATTTGGTGATTCAATCAAGCAGGTATATATATAAATAGGTGAATCGTGTTTGAAGAGGATTTGGTGGAGAAGATTACAGAAGAGAAGTGGAGAAAAAACAAGAGATTTTTTAATAAAAAAGAATGAATGAAAGAAAGAACAGCGAAAAAGGCATGGGTCAGAACAAGCGGCTTTTAAGTTTTACCTGCTGCTGCTAATTGTGATGTGATCTCATGCGTCAAAATTGGATTAAAAGGTTGTGTGTGTTTTACTTACATCATGACTAGTCTATATTCTAGTCAATATGTTGGACATAGCCATATAACCCAAATGTGGCAAGATTTGAAACAAATGCCCACCAACCCTCTCCATAACAAAATACACGAGTAGAGTACTTCTTTTATTTCTGAATATTTGTTGGGTTAGAATGAGTGACTTTTATTAAGTTTTGATAGTTAAGCGAACTAGTTTAGAGATAATCTTATTAATAACATCTAAATATTGTTGTTCTCGAGATCGTCTATAGGATTCACCTAGACTAACATCATAACCACTATAACACATGAGAGATGAGACTTATTTACAACTTACTAGTTTTACAACTACCTTTATTTCAATTTATTTGCAACAATGTGACATTTATCAACATTTACCTTTACTACCTTTATTTCAATTAATGTTGCATTATTTGCTAATGTATCATAAAAAAATTGAGGTTGTAGCTTAACCATTGGGAGATTTTGTCACCAAAAAAAGTCGAGTTTAAGGAGATTTTGTCACCGAAAAAAAGTCGAGTTTATTGCTAATGTTGTTACTGTTTACCAGTTTTCCATACTAACTTGAATTTGTTCAATATTATACTGTATGTTTTTTTTAATTTCAATTTTATAAATCGTGCATAGAATAGATAGCAGGTAGCAATAATTAATTAATCATGTATATTTGATACGATATCACTGACATGATATGAACAACAAAAGGCATGAGCCACGAGGCACAACTGCACAAGTAGCCATTCCATGACTCCTCGAACCCAAGCCCCCAACTTCCACTTTTTTTTTTAGTTTTTTTTTTTTTTTTTTTTTTTTTTTTTTTTTTTTTTTTTTAGGTGTGTAATTAAATTGCCAAGCTGTCATACAGTGCCAGCAGTTATTTAACTACATCAATGTTTTTGTCCAGGTACCATTTCGACTTAAAGAGGAAAATGACATGGATAAGACTCGTTGATAATTGACTGCGTTCTATTTGAATATTTAATGATAATTTGGGTATGTATGTTTTTTTTTTTTTTGGGTGTTTAGGGAGCCACAAGGGCGAGGGTGAGAATCAATCCCAGGATCTCCTAGAATCGGAAGGGAAACTCTAATCACTTGAGCTATCCCTCACTCTCATAATTTGGGTATGTATGTAGCTAGAAATAAATAAGCTTGATTCATGGTTTCCTAAATAACAACCTGAGTCATCAGCCCATCACTCATCGAGTCATATATAACCCCATTGCATGCGTGATTGAATAATCCTATATATTGCAATGTTGCATGAAATTCCACTGTATCATTTTGTAAAGTTGTAATGTTTGTATGGACTTTGTTTGGACTGATGCACCACCAACTTGGAGCAAATTTATAGTGGAAGTATTCGTTGTTTAGGTTTGGATTAAATAATGGTCGATTGATATATGACTATACTCTACCTATCTGAACCATACATCATATCTATGTCAATCGCTCAATCCTACATACTAGTATTTGTTTTTCTTCTATGAATTAAAGGAACAATTAGTATATTATCCTTCATCCTACATAGTAGTACTTGTTTTTTTTTTATACATTAGGCCCTGTTTTTTAGAGTTGTTTAGCTGAAATCTGCTCTATGGGGAGCCCTGCTCTGCTCTATCCTACTCTGTCCAGAAGCTCATAAGTACAGAGCCTAAATTAAAGGAGCAGTTGTGTATTATCCCTCGTTCCTTCTCATCCTTACCCTCTTTGTAGCAAGTTGAGGAATTGCTAATTTGCTATAAGAACTAGAGAGAAGATTTAAAAAAAAAAAAAAAAAAAAAAAAACTTCTCGGTTAATACTGGCATATCTCATGAGTACTAAGTAACTAACTAACTTATGCATATATAGAAATTAAGCATGATTAATGCTGAAAATCAAACATAATAATAATAGTGTGTCACTGTCTCATTTTGTGAAATTGTGAATGCATAAAACGTGCTTAATTTTATAGGTATCAGCCTTGGGCCTACAATCGCTGTAATGATTAGACCAATTAGAATGGGCCAAACACAATTGTTCATGTAAATATAGGTCAAGCTGCACTAGGTAGAAATTATTGACCCAAGTATATTACTCTAGTTCGGCCCAAGACTGAAAATATGACCCTTTTCGTAACATAAGTGTTTGTTTGACTGGAAAAAAATAATAAAAAAATGGAACTGTAGTTTGTTTTAGGCTTTGGTTTGTTTTGATAGAAAATATTTTTGAGAAAAATGATCTTTCATTTCTCCATAAGTGGAAAGTTACTTTTATGATAAGGAAAACCAATTTTCTTTTGTAAGGAAGATACGTCTTATTTTCCTCACTTCTTTGATTCCTGTCTTTTATCTAGAGCTGTCAAAAACTGACTCAATTCGAAAACTCGACCTAAACCGACAATGATCTGAACCCAACCTGTACTCGGACAATGGGTTGAAACTAGTGACCTGTAACCCAACCTGAACCTGACTATATGTTAACCGACAACCAATTTTATCCAATTCTATTTTACTTGAACCCAAACCTGCTCCCGACCTGAGAGTAAGCGTCAACCGATTTAATCCGACCCAACAAAAATTTGAACCCGAACTAGTACCCGATCCAATTAGAACTTGTACCCCAGTCATGGAAGGTTTACTAAAATTTATATGCCTTTTGTTCAACTTATATACTGGTACAAATCTGTAAACCCACAATCCGATTCGGCTTGTATACCTTTTGGTCTCAAGACTTTTCGCCACCAGGCCCCGAAACCTCAAAATTTCCTCAAAAAATGTGGATTATAGCCTTCAATTTTGTAATTTTTTGACCTTTTTTCGCTCGGAAATAAAAATTACCAAGATGATTACCATGGTCCCTAATACCCTCCTGGAGTACAATTGGGTCGGTGGAACCATCCACTATGCCCTTAAACAGCCATTTTACCCGTTCACAATTTGCAATGATTTCGTAAACTCAAGCCTACGACGGACGTTTATGACAACATATAATGATCATATGTGGTTTCAAACGGCATAATATGACCTTGAGATGTATCCCTTAGGGGTTTAAGGCTTTTCGCCACGTGCCCTGAAAACTCAAATTCCCTCAAAAAGTGTGGATTATAGCCTTCAAGTTTGTAATTTTTTGACCTTTTTTCGCCCGGTAATAAAAATTACCAAGATGTTTACTATGGTCCCTAATAGCCTCCGAGAGTCCAATTGGGTCGAGGGAACCATCCAATATGCCCTTAAACGTTCATTTTACCCGTTCACAACTTGCAATGGTTTTGTAAACTCAAGCCTAACACAGACGTTTATGACAACATATAATGATCATATGTGGTTTCAAACGGCATTATATGACCCTGAAATGTATCCCTTAGGGTTTCAAGGATTTTTGCCACCGGGCCTTGAAACCTCGAAATTTCGTAAAAAAACGTGGATTATAGCCTTTAATTTTGTAATTTTTTGACATTTTTTCGCCCAGAAATAAAAATTACCAAGATGTTTACCATGATCCCTAATAACCTCCGGGAGTCCAATTGGGTCTGTGGAACCATCCAATATGCCTTAAACGGTCATTTTATTTGTTCACAACTTGCAGTGATTTTGTAAACTCAAGCCTACTACGTACGTTTATGACAACATATAATGATCATATGTGGTTTCAAACGGCATTATATGACCTCGAGATGTATCCTTTAGGATCTCAAAGCTTTTCTCCACAGGCCCCTAAACCTCAAATTTTCCTAAAAAAGCGTGGATTATAGCCTTCGATTTTGTAATTTTTTGACCTTTTTTCGCCCGGAAATAAAATTTACCAAGATGTTTACCATTGTCCTTAATATCCTCCGAGAGTCCAATTGGGTCGGTGGAACCATCCAATATGCTCTTAAACGACCATTTTACCCGTTCACAACTTGTAGTGATTTCGTAAACTCAAGCCTACCACGAACGTTTATGACAACATGTAATGATCATATATGGTTTCAAACGGAATTATATGACCCCGACATGTATCCCTTGGTGTTTCAAGGCTTTTCGCCACCGGGCCCCGAAACATCAAAATTCCTCAAAAAGCGTGAATTATAGCCTTCAATTTTGTAATTTTTTGACCTTTTTTCGCCCAGTAATAAAAATAACCAAGATGTTTACCATGGTCCCTAATAGCCTCCGGGAGTTCAATTGGGTCGAGGGAACCATCCAATATGCCCTTAAACGGTCATTTTACCCGTTCACAACTTGCAATGGTTTCGTAAACTCAAGCCTAACACAGACGTTGATGACAACATATAATGATCATATGTGGTTTCAAATGACATTATATGACCCTGATATGTATCCTTTAGGGTCTCAAGGATTTTCGCCACCGGGCCTCGAAACCTCGAAATTTCGTAAAAAACGTGGATATAGCCTTCAATTTTGTAGTTTTTTGACATTTTTTCGCCCGGAAATAAAAATTACCAAGATGTTTACCATGATCCCTAATAACCTTCGGGAGTCCAATTGGGTGTGTGGAACCATCCAATATGCCTTAAACGGTCATTTTATTTGTTCACAACTTGCAGTGATTTCGTAAACTCAAGCCTACCACGTACGTTTATCACAACATATAATGATCATATATGTGGTTTCAAACGACATTATATGACCCTGAGATATATCTCCTAGGGTCTCAACACTTTTCACCACCGGGCCTCGAAACCTCAAAATTTCGTAAAAAAGCCTTAAAAAACGTGAATTATTATAGCCTTCAATTTTGTAATTTTTTAACCATTTTTCGTCCGGAAATAAAAATTGCTGAGATGTTTATCATGGTGTCTAATACCCTCCAGGAGTCCAATTGGATCGGTTGAACTGTCCAACATGCCCTTAAATGGTCATCTTACCCGTTCACAACTTGCAATGATTTCGTAAACTCAAGCCTACCATGGATGTTTATGACAACATATGATGATCATATATGGTTTCAAACGACATTATATGACCCCGAGATGTACCCTTAGGGTCTCAAGGCTTTTCGCCACCGAGCCCCGAAACCTCAAAATTTCATTAAAAAGCGTGGATTATAGCCTTCGATTTTGTAATTTTTTGACCTTTTTTCGCTCGGAAATAAAAATTGGCGAGATGTTTACCATGGTCCCTAATACCCTCTGGGAGTCCAATTGGGTCGGTGGAATAATCCAATATGTCCTGAAACGGTCATTTTACCCGTTCACAACTTGCACCGATTTCGTAAACTGAAGCCTACCACGGACGTTTATGACAACATATAATGATCATATATGGTTTCAAACGATATTATATGACCCCGAGATGTATCCCTTAGGGTCTCAAGGCTTTTCGCTACCGGGCCCAAAACCTCAAAATTTCCTTAAAAAGCTTGGATATAGCCTTCAATTTTGTAATTTTTTTACCTTTTTTCGCCCGGAAATAAAATTGTCGAAATCTTTACCATGGTCCCTAAAACCCTCCGGGTGTCCAATTGGGTCGGTGGAACCATCCAATATGCCCTTAAACGGTTATTTTACCCGTTCACAACTTGCATTGATTTCGTAACTCAAGTCTACCACGTACGTTTATGACAACATATAATGATCATATTATGGTTTCAAACGACATTATATGACCTCGAGATATATCCCTTAGGATCTCAACACTATTTGCCATTGGGCCCGAAACCTCAAAAAGTTTCCTCAAAAAGTGTGGATTATTGAGTTTTATGCATCTCCTTCCTAATACTTCCACTTTTTTTCACTCTATGATTTCCTATTTTATATAATGAAACCAAGAAAATTCCTCTTTCATAATCATAATTCCATTGTATGTTTTTTTTTAGAAAATTATTTTCTATATATGAAATATGTTTTTCTTTCATTAATACAAATTGAACATTAGAAATGATAAAACGATATGTTGACTGAAAGAAGTGAGAGTGTAAATCTCCGAGAGAATAGAGAATTTAGTAACTCACTCACACTCCCATGATAGCTCAAAATTCTCATCAATTAGTTGTGACACAATATAATTCAAATGCCTCTAATTACTCTATGATCTAAGCCAAACCTCTAACACATTTCTCGAAAGAAAAAATCCACTTATTATTGTCATTTTCCTTAGGCGAAAAAAAAGTTGACAATCACTAACACTTCCTCTTATCTTCCATTATTTTTTTCTCTTTCCTAGAATCATTCTCCATCAATGGCTCAAAACATGGAAGTATCCCAACAACATTCTTCCTTCGTTAACAACAACAACGAACCAAATTCCATAAATACCCCTGTTCTCCCAACCCGACTAATCTCCCGGTTCCGAACCCGGTTCCATTGGCATGGAGTCAAACCCATCCCTCTCATATTCGCTCTCACAACCGGTCTAATCCTTCGGTTCGCCGTCCCTAAACCGGACAAAGTCACAACTCGTGCATGGACACTTCTCTCCATTTTCCTCACCACAATCACCGGTCTAGTTTACGCTCCGTTACCGGTCGGAGCATGGGCATTTGTATGTCTAACAGTGACATTGATCACCAAAACGCTGTCGTTTGAAGAGGCTTTCAGTGCTATGACAAATGAAGTAATATGGTTGATAGTCGTTGCATTTTTTTTCTCACGTGGGTTTATAAAAACCGGACTAGGAGATCGAGTTGCGACGTATTTTATAAAGTGGATGGGTCGAAAGACTATCGGTTTGGCTTACGGTTTGGTGCTGAGTGAGGCTTTAGTTAGCCCGGCTATACCGAGCTCGACGGCTCGAGCCGGGGGTGTGTTTGGCCCGGTGATAAAATCGGTTTCGGTGAATAATGGAAGTATGCCATTTGATAAGAAATCGGCTAAGAAAATCGGGTCTTATCTAAGTATGTCACAATTGCAGGTATGTACGTAGAATGAACATGTAGTGTTGTGTTGCATATTGCATTGCTTTGTTGCCTCCCTTTCTATGTCATCTAGTGTACAATTGTCGCAGTGATAATTCATAGTATAAGGGACGTACATTAACGCATGTAATGAGGGAAATACAACAAATGGAAAATCAAAATATGATCATTATTTTTTATTATAAGCTTTAAATAATTTTTTTATGCGATGAATGTGGAATGTGGTATAAGAAAAGGGAGATATTTACAATGAAATAGTCTTTATGTCAGATTCACTTACATTATTATTTTAGTGAGTTTTATTCATGTAATTGTCCTGATACCTCAACTAAAAAGTTCATACTTCGTATTACCTAACTCGTACTAGTACAATTTATGTAATATGGGCTTTCCACCAACTATTTCACTCTCACACAAAAGGTTTACACTATCAAGGGCAATAATTTGAGAAGCAATATAAAGTATTTGAGTCAATTTGTGTTGATACTTTGAGTTAGTCGTGTGTGATCTCTTATTAATTTCCCCTCACTCCATAGTGTATACTAGTACTCACTGACTATAGTTGGGTTGATCCTCAACTTTCAACTCAATAGAGTTAGTTTTGAGTTTAGACTATATAAATACTACCTTCGTTACAGGTTATGTGCAACGATTTGACATAAAGTAGAGAGGAAAAATATCTAATCGTTGCACAAAACCTATAACGGAGGTAGTATATATAAATGCTTTACTTGTATTTCATATAATGAAGTAGGAGTATAACTAACTAACTATGTTAGCATCACCTTCAGAAGTTGGGCTGTCCATTTTATGAATGGGCTACAAATTTAGACCCACTAATCTGCTATTTCATCACTACTCACTAGTAGTGCTTTTTTTTTTTTTTTTTCCTGTTAATATCATCGACATAAAATTAAAATAGATAATTAGAGGTTTTCTTTTTCACTAAAAAAAAATAGAGGCCGGGTTTTATTCACTAGTAGTGCTTTTCTTCTTTTTTTTTTTTTTTTTTTTTTTTTTTTTTGGAAACATCACCTTCTATCTTCTCATGTCTTGTCCATCATTTCTATCATTTCCACTTTCCTTTTTCTGAATGATTTTTCTAGGAAGACAACTACCAATGAAAATTTATTAGTTGTGTTTTATCCATTATTGTTATTTCTATCATTATTAATATACACACACAAATGGAAAATATATATTTATATATATATATATATATATATATATATATATATATATATATATATATATATATATATATATATATATATACACATTCCTAAAAAATCAAACTACCATGAAAATCTTATTTTAGAAACATATAACCTACATTATCAAACCAACAATAGCAATAACTAAAATTAGAAAGTACTTCGTAATACACAAATTTGCCCAATAATTTAGAAAACTAACTTTCAATAACCATTGTCCAAAGTCTAAAACCCATATCCTCAATTTCTCAAAGTATTCATCTATTGTACAATTGCATGCACGTCATCCTTTATTACTTGTATTTGTATATAAATTTATGGACGAAACCTAACCCAAGAATCATAACCATCTATATTACCGAAACTTATGTACCATAAATTCATGGTTTCCAAATCATTAAAATTGTCTAGTACTTCATGTGTTGTTATTGTGTGTACCTTTAAATCATACTAAAACCCCCCCTTTGAACAACTCAAGCGTCACTATTTCACAAAACCAACAAAAATACACTTCAATAAAAACATCCCAAACATGTCCTAAATCGTCACATACCCCTTCCCAACTCCACATTCACGACACCTGGCATTCTCACATTAATCCCACTCAAATCTTTTCCATTTTTTTATTTTATTTATTTTATTTTTTTAAGTAACATTTTACGGCCTTCCATTTCTGATTTCCCTCCTTCCTCACATCGTTCCCTCCGCATCTTTCTCTCTCCTCTCCCTTCACAAAAAATGGAGAGCTTATTCCTCCACCCCACTCTCTCTCTCTCCTCCACCACCACCACCACTAAAACCACCGTCAAAACCACCGCATTCCTCCGGTCCACCACCACCACCACTTCCCTCCACCACCGCCGACCCCTCTCACTTTCTCTCTCCTCCAAACCCCTCCTCGCCATCAAACCCCTCAACGCCGCCGCATCCTCCTCCTCCTCCTCACCCGCACCACCACCTTCCCCCGCCGCCAAAACCACCGCACCACCGCCTCCCACCGGCGCAAAACTCATCCCCTTCATAATCTCAATCTCAATCGGACTCATCCTCCGTTTCGCAATCCCTAAACCAGCAGAACTAACCCTCCAAGCATGGCAACTCCTCGCCATTTTCCTCTCCACAGTCGCCGGACTTGTCCTCAGTCCTCTCCCCGTCGGAGCCTGGGCTTTCCTCGGAGTCACCGCCTCCGTCGTCACGAAAACACTCCCATTCCCCACCGCGTTCTGCGCGTTTACCAACGAAGTAATCTGGCTTATTGTCATCTCCTTCTTCTTCGCTCGAGGATTCGTCAAAACCGGGCTCGGTGATCGCATTGCTACTTACTTTGTTAAGTGGTTGGGAAAGAGTACTTTGGGTTTGTCTTATGGACTTGCTATTTCTGAAGCTCTTGTTGCTCCTGCTATGCCGTCTACTACTGCTAGAGCTGGGGGGATTTTTTTGCCGATTATTAAGTCGCTTTCGCTTTCTTCCGGGAGTTTGCCTGGTGGGGAGTCTAGGAAGAAGCTTGGGTCTTACCTTATTATGACTCAATTTCAGGTTTGATTGCTTTGGTCAACTCAATTTTATTGGTTCAAATTCGTATTTTGTGATTGTTTGTGGATCTTGATCATTGGGGTTAAGCTTAGTGATGCCTAAGTCTTGTTCAATGGATTGATTGGTTTGATTTTGATGTAATGTTAAACAATGTGGTTTAGGAAATTGGATATTATGGATTGTAGAATTTATATGATTTAATTGGAGATTGCAGCTACATTGAGCTTTTATTTGGTTTGGTTTGATTGAGGAATATGCTGAGAATAGATAGGTTTATTAGATTTAAGTATAGGAAAGTAGTTGGGTTGATGAAGTTTGATAAAGTTTTAGTCTTGATTAATGGTTGTTGTAGAAGGTGGGTTTCGGAGTTTTTGTGTTTTTATGGTAAACTTTATTATCTGGCATATTTGATCGAAGAAACACTTTTAGCTTGCTGTTATGTTCTTTGGGTGACGAATTAAGATTTGTTAGACAAGTTGGATGCAATTTTGGAAGACTGACTCGAGCTTTATACAATGTCTATGAATGTTGACAATGAGTTTCTTTCTTAAGGAGGGATTGCTGATTTATTTTGGAGAAACTTAATGTGGTTCAATTATCCTGAATAGTGAATAGTGCTGCCTAATTTAAACATGTGAATTAGTATGTGGCTCATACATTGATACTCTTTTAAAAAGATAACTAGGAGGCAAATCTTCCGGTACCTGTTATGCACAGAAAATAATTCCGTAATTTAGGTAACATGATCCTGAAACTATGTAACTAAAAGTATAGCTTTTGGTCAGCTTTCTTTTTTTGTGCTAGACCCATCAATGTTGAGGTACTAGAGCTCATTAGATTCTACATATGCTATTACTTAATGACAGCTTGAATATGGGGTGTTTGTAAGAACTCAACTCTCCTCTGATCAACTAACATATACAGTTTTATTATTGTAATCTGAATGGTAGATGGTGAGTGGAAATATGAGCTTTGTTAATGAGAGGTTTTGCTTATACATCTCTTAGATGTAGCTATGCTTTCCCCATTTGCATGTCCTGGTTCAATTGGACTATTTGTGAACTGTGGTGTTCTAGGCTGTTTTTATCTTGTTCTAGTCCTATGTAAAGATTGGTGGTTATTAATTTGCTATATCAATACACTTAAACTGTTTATATATATTTTCTTCTTTCTTTGTTTTCTTTTTTGTTATTGACATACATCACATTTTTAATTAATGTGAGTGAATCTTTTGGTTTCTCAGTGTCAATGTCTTCAATGACAATAAATATGTTCCCAATGTTGTTTCACCTCTCGTATTCTGCAGACTATTATGAAATATGATACGCTTCAAGGATTTTTTTTTTTAATTGTTGATGGTCCCCAATAGTTGATCTAATTTGGTTTCCTTAGGAGTTAGGAACCCAAACATATACATCTTCATACCTAATCATTGTTAGTTAGTGCCTTTCATTGATGGTCGTTACATAGCTGATCTACTTTGGTTTCCTTAGGAGTAAGAACCCCAAACATCTACATATTCATACCTTTTCATTGTTGATGGTCATTACATAGTTGGTCTACTTTGATCTCCTTAGGAGTTGGAGCTTCGATGTTCCACCGGCTAGAAGTTGACCAAAGCATTATTGGAGATGTAATATGTAAAATTGCTACTTGTTAGTAGTTGGTGGCCTTACTGCCTTAGCTATAGAGAGAATTCTGATCATTCATAGCAGCAATAGCTTATTGTATCAATGGTTGGATGTGGAGAATTCTAGGTGAAAGAAAATATTCATGTTTTATATCTAGACTCATGAACCATGACAGCATATTTTCTTCTGAAAAATCTTAATGTTGTTTTTCTTTAACTTAGCAAGGCGTGTAGCTTAATATCATCTCGTTACTATTTTTATCTCTCAAAGGAAAGTATCTAATGGAGAAACAACATTACAAAGGTTTTTAGTAGGTTTCACTTTTCAAGTATTTCTATATAAATCTTATCATTTGCAACTGGATCATTTCTTGTCGGTTATATATGAAAAAAAAATGCTGTGAAAATCTTCATAGCATTCAAGTGTACAGTATACACATTTAAGTTCCTGTTGTCGGTTTAAACTTTAAAGAATTATTTTGCTAAAAACATAACTGAATTTTTGAAATTATTTTTTCTTACTGTCAAGCTGGAGCCTGTCCCCATTAACATAAATGTATAAGATGTAGTATTGTATTATTTTTTTGTCAATTAACTTTCTTAAATATCTACTGTAAATTAAAATATACTTGTACATGATAGATGGGAATCATGAGATGGACATGTTATAACTATTGATTCCTTGTGTGTGCATGACAGTCTGCCGGTAACTCTAGTGCTCTTTTCCTAACTGCTGCAGCTCAAAATCTGCTGTGTCTCAAATTAGCTGAGGAACTTGGTGTGAAGATTGCATCTCCATGGGTTTTTTGGCTTAAGACTGCCAGTGTACCAGCATTTGTCGCACTCTTGCTTACTCCACTTATTCTGTACAAGCTCTATCCTCCTGAACTTAAAGACACCCCAGAAGCCCCTGCTTTAGCTGCTGAAAAGCTCAAGAATATGGGGCCTGTCACAAGAAATGAATGGGTGATGGTTGGTACAATGCTTCTTGCAGTTTCGCTCTGGGTCTTTGGGTGAGTAATATGATCGCTTTGTTTTCTAACTTTTGCCTTTTCTTATACCACTATATTGTGTGGGATTGCGTGTGTGGTATCATTGACATGGTTGTCGCACTCTACTTTGATTCTGTATGATTAAAAATGCTAATTTGCACACAGATATTCCTGTGCTTGATGGAGAAAGTTTTATTGTGTGGTCATTGTTCTGTTTCTGATAACTGTTAAAACGACTTGAAGTAAAATAGTGGGAGACAAATTAGTGGTGGATTTCATTATTTTTTCTCCCTGGAGAAATTCTTGTTTTTATCTACCAGCAAAGTTTTTTGTTTTTATCCCAGCAGCACTTACAATGGTCTATAAAATTAAGTTCATGGACTCCATATGTTACTGGTTTCTGTTGGACCATTTGGACATTTTTTTTGGTTTTGTCTTCTTGCTGTAAAAACAAACCCTCAAGTGATGATTATTTTGCTTTTTTCTTCTCTTGCAGGGAGCGAATTGGTGTTTCAAGTGTTGTTGCTGCTATGCTCGGACTGTCAGTGCTCCTGTTGTTGGGAGTATTGAATTGGGATGATTGTTTGAATGAAAAGTCGGCATGGGATACTCTTGCCTGGTTTGCTGTGCTGGTGGGTATGGCTAGCCAGTTGACCAACCTTGGTATTGTATCCTGGATGTCTGGTTGTGTTGCCAAGAGCTTGAAGACGATGAATTTGAGCTGGCCTGCTGCATTTGGTATCCTTCAGGCAGCATACTTTTTCGTCCATTACCTATTTGCTAGTCAAACTGGCCATGTTGGAGCACTGTACTCTGCCTTCTTGGCCATGAATATAGCATCTGGTGTTCCTGGTGTGTTGGCGGCTTTGGGCTTAGCATACAATACTAACTTATTTGGAGCACTTACACATTATAGCAGTGGCCAAGCAGCAGTATATTATGGAGGTGAGAGTCTTCCATTAAATCTTTGTATATTTTGTTTAAGCGACACTGGCTTTGGCTAATAATGCATTTGCTTCTAACAGCTGGCTACGTGGACCTTCCTGATGTATTTAAAATGGGTTTCATTATGGCGCTCGTAAACGCTGTCATCTGGACTGTTGTCGGGGGATTTTGGTGGAAGATAATAGGTCTCTACTAACATTACTGTTTTGTTAAGAGGTTTAATTTCCCCCATGTATAATGCCCCATTTCACAGGATACGGACGGTTACATTTGCTGGAAATACCAGCCACATTCTTTTTGAGTCTAGTCAGAGTTGGATCATAGTTTCTTGAATGGTGGAGGTTTGACAAAGATGAAGCAATCCTGATGTAGAATTTCAAATTTTATTAGTGCAGCGATTGTAATGAGGAGAGTTGTCTTTTCTCCCCCTACTAAATTTGCATTCGTGAATTAACTAGGCTTAAACCCTACGAAGTATTTACTTATAGCTCAATTCTTCCATCTTATACCTTATATTAGGATAAAATATTACAATTGTAATTAAATGAAGAAATAGCTTTCAGAATATTAGCAGTTCAAGCTCTGAAACATGAATCTGCAGCCCCCCTCTTAAAAACTGCGTTTTCTGGTGCACAAATGTCACCTGAACGATTGAAATTACATGCTTGCGCATACATTTTTTTAAAAAATGTGCTATATAGACAAGTTGAGTAAATAGATAGCAACGTAATCACAGTCAAGACAGCAGCAAATAAACCTGCTTGATACATGCGAATGTGTGATAAGAATATTCATCCATTTAAGCTCCTCACTGCAGGAAACTAATCTACCAATTTCAGTTTTTCAAGGATAAACTTTTCCTGGTTGGCATATTCAATATCTGGGTTTTCTGTGAAATTTGAATGTAAAGCATTCCCAACACTATCAACTATTGCTGAAGTAGTCATGGACGATTCTATACATAAGATAGCAGCAATGGCATCCAACTGAGTCACCTCGTTCTTGAACATTAGCCTTGCATGAGCCTGTGCTAGTCGAATCAGACTTTCTAACATTCGCACAGTGATCCTCGCTGCATTTTCTGTCCCTGATCTCCTTTGCAGTTGGTAGTAACCAGAAATTACTCTCTCTGCTTCCTTAGTAAGTATTGGCCTAAATTTCCCTTTAACATAACTAATATACCTCCTTAACATAGAAAGTGACCAATAATTTGTTAAATCTTCGGCATCTTTTACTCTGCCTGGTTCCTCCTCAGCAAGAATATGGGATGAAACGACTTTATCCCATTCGGGGTTTTTGGTGTCCAATAGAACCAAAACTATATCAAATCTGCTCAGTAAGGGACCAGAAAGTGTAGTATTGACAGATAAAGGTTGGCTGGGATCATACTGTCCCTTTGGATTTGTCGCCCCAAAAACAATGGTTCTGGTACTAAGAGTTGTCACAAGACCAGCTTTTGCAATACTTATTGTTTGTTGTTCCATGGCTTCATGTATGGTGGCTCTGTCATGTTCCCTCATGCTGTCAAATTCATCAATGCAGCAAAGCCCTCCATCAGCTAATACAAGTGCCCCGGCTTCTAGCATCCATTCACCAGAATCTTTCACGGCAGTGACAGTCAAACCAGCACTTGTGCTTCCTAGTCCAGTAGTAATAACAGCTCTGTTGCTCAATTTAGCAGCAAATTTCAAGAATTGGGATTTTCCAGTACCAGGATCACCCACAAGAAGCAAATGGGATTCTCCTCTAACCTTTGTCCCAGAAGCATCAACATGCTGCACACCGCCAATAAGGGTTAATGCAACTGCCAACTTCACAGTGAACAGACCAAAAATCTGGGGACAGATAGCCTTAAGAATTGCATTTCTCCCTTTCAAAGGGGTACCGCTGAATTTTTTCCAGAATATCTTGAATTTATCAACAATGTCATCAGGGATGTCAATCTCAGATTTTAGCTTATTGGTTTGTCTCACATGATTGGCAACCAGAATAGGCTCAAGATCACATCTAACGTCTTTCAAATCTGAAGACCATTTTGCAGTCAAAACACCAGTTATAATCACATCATCTCCAGCCTTAACAATGTCAACAAGGTCATTTTGCAAGATTACACGAATGGAACGTGGGATGGATCCAACACCCAACAGCTGGGCGCTTTCTTGGATCTTGATTTCTTGGTAATCATGGAATTTAGTGCTGTTTTCTACAAGCACAAACTTGTTGCCTTCACATTCCTGGGACTTGTCTGAGAGGCAAGCCAATGGCGGCCTTATAATGTTTCCGGTTTCTAATTCAGGATAAACCGGGAAAACATTCTTGCATTTTCTACATTCATATCTCCTTTCCCCTTCAATCGTCTTGATTCCACCTGATCGTATGACAGTCCCTTTGAGGGTCAGCAGTATGTTACTATGCCGCACCCTCACCTTCCCTATGCTTGGAAAAGTCTCTACACACAAACACAACAATCAACCATCCAAACAATCAATATCAACAAAACTTCCTTTAACCCATAAAATATAAGCATATTCAAAAACCTATTTTGTGTTTTAAGTATGACTAAACAATGCAATTTAATATATAATCTACCATCTAAATTAAAACCAGAAATTCACTGCAACACAAAACAATCAAATTGAACTTATGACTGCATAAAATACATCTATTTCGCTATCAATCATGCTCGCCATTCCAAATTTGCAACGTGTTGCAGTCCACCAAACATTATATTGTCACCTCACCTCACCATTTAAAGTTAGTAATTTGCCAGAAAACATATCCAACTGCAACAGATTGAACATAAGCCAAAATAAGAAATCGAAAATCGAAATAAGGGAAAAACAAACCAGGTGATTCAAGGGGAGAGCCCAGTATATTTACACGAACATGAACATTTTCTTTAATAGTGGAAGTTGAACCACCTTCAGAATCCTTCGCAATCAACCTCTGCACAGTAAAACCCAGAATCCCAAATTAAAAATATACCTTCAAAATACAAACCCAGATAAAATTCTCCCTTCCAATTGCACACCCAGATAAATTAACCTCCCAAATTACAAAAATCAGCCAAATTCAGGCCTTAAATTCGATGAATTTTTCTGGGAATTCGAAGTAAATCCTTACTTGAGCAGAAACAGCGGCATAATTAAATTTGGGCAAATAATCGGTGGGTTTGGCGAAGATGAGCTGAGCAACTTGTAGATGATCGTTCATAAGCTCTGCAAAACTGGAAATGGAAGAAATTAATAGAATGAAAGAGGAGAGAGAAAAGGGGATAAGCGAGGAGAGAGAGAGAGAGAGAGAGAGTATACTCGATGAAAAGAGGGTAATGAAGGCGAGAATCAGGAGAGAGAATAAGAGAGCGAAGTTGGTCGGAGTGGTTGGTGGTGAGGAATGTCACCATGTCTCTGTAAATTTCATCGTCGGCTGTTAACTCCGGCAAGTACATTTTCTGGAATTGTCGTATTTTTTGGGGGGTTTTGGAAATTAAGCGGGAAACATATCGATTGTGTTGGGGAAATAGTTTATCGGGGCAAAATTAGTTTATTTGAGTAACATTAGCTTATTGATTTCTGTAGTCGTTTGATTTATATTGATAATCTGAGTTAAGCACAAATTTAGGTACACAAATCTTCCTTTTTTCACCGTTTAGGTACTTAATTTTTTTACTTTGCTTTTGGGTATTGAGTTAAGAATTCCGGCCAAAAAAAAATAAATCAGTCTAAGAATTCAGTACCTTGGTTTAGAGAAAGTGGGCCCCACCCGATTAAAAAATTTCGTGGGTCACCCTTAATTTTTTTCCTTTCTTATTCTTTATTTCCCCCTTTTCCTCCCTTTATTCTTTCCTTTTCTGGAAATTCTGTTGCGTCATTGTCAAAGAACACGAGCAAGCTTAGGCTCGATTATGGGGAAAACGACACCAAAAGCCGCCTTTTTTTTGAGGTAAACTCAATTACTCATGGATTATGTTGATATTTTGATATAAATTTTGAATTTTTTTACCCATTTCTTGATGTTATTTGCGAACTAGGGTTTTCAATTTTTTGGGGTTTTTTTGAACAAATTGATGATGTCAATTTCTTGTGTTTTTTGTGTTAAATTTGTTGCTTTGTTGTTGTTTGTTGTTGGATTAAGCTAGTGTTGTTGTTGAATGTCGATTGCATGTTGTTTAGATTGCGCAAGGGTTTGATTAGTTGATATGTTTTTCGCACTAAAACAGGGGAAGAATTAAAGAAGAAGCAGCAAGGGAAGAACCTAGCAGCAGCTTCTGTTTCTGTTTTTTTTTTCCTAAAAAATCTGGAAAAACCTTGTTGAAGAATTTGTACCTAAATAGACATGGTGAATGAACCTGTTTTGATGATATTTGTTGCTGGTGTACTGCTACAGCTTCTGCGTTGCTGTTTTTGTTTTTTTTTTATTGAAATTGAATCAGGGATAATCGTTTTGGATGAATTTTGTTAAGAAAACATGGTGTGCTGCTAGTGTTTTGCAGGTGTTTTCATGGCATTTTTTGGCCAAGTTCATGCCCCTTTAAATAGAGTAATAACGGCTAGTTTATGAGTCAAAGTTCGGATTTTTTTTTAAATATTAATTTTTTAATTAGGTATGGTTAGTGATGAGTTAGTGGTGAGTTAGTTCACCTGAAAATCACTTTGAATACCCAAAAGCAAAGCAAAAAAAATTGAGTACCTAAAAGGTGAAAAAAGGAAGAATTGATTACCTAATTGTACTCTTAACTCTGATAATCTCATTTTGATTTATTTTTTTAAATTTTTTTTTCCTATGGTTGTGTTTGGTAAATAACTTATTTGAGCAAGATTAGCTTATTTGACCAACATTATCTCATTTTAAAACTTTGATGAAAAACTAACGTTAACATATATAGTCATATGAAATATTGTTAGATTTATCTCGTGTGTAGTTTCAGAATATAAGATTTTTATAATTTTTGTTATTTGTATATATGTGAAGTTTATAAGAATTCAAAATGTTCTAACTTTTCTATGCATAAATTAATGGCTGGAGAATTGGATGAGGTAGTGAGTATTCATATTGCTACTAATATGTTTTACTTTTAAAGGTATACCCCAAAAAAGTACTTTTATATACAATTATGGAGCAAATGAAGATAGAACGTGATGAGATGAGAACATGTAAGATAAGGAGTATTGATATTTTTCCATATGAATGATCGTGATAATTCAGGTTGACTGTATTTATGAATTAGTTTACAAATTGTAAAAAAAATTGAGTATGAGGAAGATCCATATCATAATATTACAGATCAATTGTAACTTTAAAGTTAGAGTCTGTTCTTATTGACTGAACTTAGCTGAACTGAATTGAATTGAGCTGAACTCAACTGAACTGAATTGAACTAAATATTTTATAAGAGAAGGAAATTAAGAGCTGAACTGAACTGAACTGAATTGAGCTGAACTGAACTGAACTGAGCTGAACTGAACTGAATTTCAACGTAAGAGAACAGACCCTTAGTATAGGCGCTAATTCTTATTCTATTAAACAATAATCAATAATATAAGAGGATTTTCTCCTTGTATGAATGATCACCATATGATAAATTGTAACTTTGAATTTTGTTTACAGGCTGTGATAAGAAATCATTGAGTATGAATAATAATAATTTAGATCAATTGTAACTTTGAATTTAGTCTACAGGCTGTGATTCAAATTGTAAAAAAATTGAGTATGAGGAAGATCAGATCATAATATTACAGATCAATTGTAACTTTGAATTTAGTCTACAGGTTGTGATACAAATTGTAAAAAAAAAAATTAAGTATGAGGAAGATCAGATCATAATATTACAGATCAATTGCAACTTTGAATTTAGTCTAGGCGCTAATTCTTATTCTATTAAACAATAGTCAATAATATAAGAGGATTTTCTCCTTATATAAACGATCATGATATTCAGATAAATTGTAACTTTGAATTTAGTTTACAAGCTATGATAAGAAACCATTGAGTATGAATAATAATTCAAATCAATTGTAACTCTTAATTTAGTCTACAAATTGTGATAAAAAAAAAGAATAATATTTTGTAAAATAAAATTTAAATGAATTGTAAATTTTAATTAAGGGTATATAATGAAATCTTAAGTCCATCAATGGTATAATGAAATATTAATTAAGTCCATTAATCTTTTACCATAAATTAATAATATTTTGTAAAATCAATTTCATGCCATAAAAGTAAGTTTATTTTAGCAAAAAATAATTTCAATTCAGTTAAATTAAAATTAATAACTTTAAACAAAAATATAATAGTAAATCAGTAAGAATAAATTTTAATCAGTTAGAATAATTTCAAGTCAGCAAAAATACGGTGAAAAGAATATGACTTAAATTATGCATAATAAAGGTATTAATGTGTTGTTCTAATAATTTGTGCTTAATAATTTGCTAGAAAGTTTCTTTAAAAAAAATGCCATAAATCATAATGAATAATTTGGCCCCATTCACTTCACCTTATTTTTGCTGAACTGAAATTATTTTTACTGAAACAAAATTATATTTACTGAACTTAAATTAATGTTACTAAACTGAATTTTTTTTTATTGATTTTCTATTATAGTTCTTCTTTAAGATAATTGAATTTTACTGAATTGAACTTATTTTTATTGAACTGAAATTATTTTTATAGAACTGAAAATAATTTTACTGAGCCGAACTTATTTTTACAGAACTGAAATTATTTTTACTTAATACAAAGTAATATTTTTTTAAGGTGAAGTGAACAGGGCCTAATGCATGTTTCAAATTCATTTTCTAAAATTTTTCTTATCCTAATTTAATATTATTAGCTTCCTTATATGAAGATTATAATTTTTTTAAAAGAATGGACACATGGTTCAATTCTATTTGTTTTACTTTATTCATCAAAATGGCAATAATATCTTTCCTTATTATGTATCAAATCATAAAATATTCGAATCAATTGTGACTTTGAATCATGATCTGACAGCACATAAGGATGCCAGCTAGAGATAGCTTAGTTGGATAAAGTTTCACATTTGGCAAGACCTAGGATTGAAAATGAATTATACTTGGATCTTTTTATTCACCTTATTTTTGTTGAATTGAAATTATTTTTAATGATTAAAACATATTTTTTTCACTGATTTCTTATTTTATTTTGTCTTTAATTTTACTGATCTTCACTGATTAAAACTTAATTATTAAACTAAATTTATTTTTATCAGAGAAATAATTTTTACTAAACCAACAAGATTTTATTGACTTTTATCTTTAAGGTGAAGAGAACAGGTTTTATTGATTTTTTTTTTCATCATAAAACTAATTGAAAGTGATTAATCTGTTGAAATTAAACTAAATGGTATAGTACTTAATACAATTGAACTAATTTTTGTATTTGTTAGATGAGGTAACTTATTTTATATATCTGAAATACTTTTTAAATAAAATTAAATTGATTTAAAATATTTTAATTGGCTGATATTTTTTTAAAATTAAATAGCGTATCAATTTTAAAAATAATGAAAACAAGGTGAAAAGTAAATGAGACTATTATGTGAAACAAAAATAAGTTCGTTTTTAAGCTGATATAAACTTAAATACAAAGTGAACTTTTTTCAATTAAAAAACCACATATATATTTATGTGATTTAGGTTTTGTTCTCTTTGCTCGAACAAGGTATTCTGGTCTAAATTTTCTAAAGTTCTGGTATAATATAGCTGTTTAATTTGATTAAACTTTAACCTATATTGTAAATTAAAGTATAAGAAAAAAAATATATATAATGAAAACATGTTTTCTCAATACAAACCGTTTATTTTTCAAATATTCAATTTTCATAACTTTTAGAAATGCATCATCCAAGATAAATGGCAAGAAGCAAACGAAATAAAGAAAATATGACCTAGTTAGGCTGAATTTTTTTTTATTTGAACTAATCTAATTTAACCGAATTTAATTAGAATAAGTAATAAAAATAAGGGAAAGAAAACAAAATATTAATTTTAATGGATTTAATCTAATTAATCCGAATTTTAAAAACATTAATATAAGTTCCATTATTGTATTATTTGTTAGACCGTCCTTTATAAAATTAGATATATATATATATATATATATATATATATATATATATATATATATATACTGGTCTTTTTTAATAATAATGCTTAAGTTAAAAAATAAAAAATTAAAAAAAAAAACAAACATACCTTTTAAGAGAATTTCCAAAGTACGGTAAAATTTAAAACTTTAATTTCTTTGATTATATAACGGTAAAAAAAATGTAAATACAGAGTAGGGTTTAAAGAACAAACGTTGCAATATTAAAAGAATGGAGAAAATACTAATTTTAGTAATTATCGAAATACTCTGTATAAAACAAATATGGAAACAAATCATATTGATATGCCCTACACAATCTTCCATTCTTTTTATAACCCCACCTTGAGCTCTCATTTCCTCAATTCAATTCATTCATCAACCCTTCATTCACTTGTTATCAACTTTTTCTTCTTCTCACAATCAATTTCTCTTCTTTCACTATGGCTAGTCAGCCTACTCCTCCAAAAAAAACTAGAGGCCGCCAAAAGATCAAAATGGAGCGAATGGAGAAGGATAGCAATCGACAAGTTACCTTCTCCAAACGCCGATGTGGTCTTTTTAAAAAGGCTAGCGAGCTGTGCACCTTATGTGGTGTAGAAGCTGCAATTATCGTCTTCTCACCAGGGAAAAAGGCCTTTTCTTTTGGCCACCCTTCGGTAGAGATGGTAGCCAATCGCTATTATTTTTCAAAATATTCTCCATCCTCATCATCCTCTGATCAGGATATCAAACCACCCCTTGGGGTTGGGGTTGGGATCCATCGCAGCAGTGCTGGTGTCTGTGATCTCAACCTCGAACTCACCTTAATCAATCGTCAAATGGAGATGGAGAAGAAGAGAAACGAAGAGATGACCGAGACCATGATGGATCTTCCCATCGAGTTGCTTTCATTGGAAAATTTGGAGCGTTTCAAAGCTTCCTTAGAAGAGCTTAAGAAGCATGTTATCCAACAAGGTAATAGCCTCATGATGATGGAGGCCGCCGCGAAAGCTCCAACTACTCTTACTCCTAGTACTCCTCCTCCTCCTCCTTATCCAATGGCTTTTACGGGGGTTAATTATCCTGTGTTTGATACAAAGGATGGTGCCTTCGTTGGATATCGACAGGATTATTACTAGCTTTGCATGGGAGTATTTCATTTGCTGAGGAATTGAAGGAAAACCATACATTAAATTTCATATTTAACGTATGATGATGCAGTTAATCAATCGCTTGTTTCACATTTAATTTGAAGTTGTTGCACCCAAAAAAAAAAAAAAAAAAAAAAAAAAAAAACGTTAAGACAAACGTTTTTTTTTTTTTTTTTTTTTTTTTTTTTATTAATGTTATGGAGCCACAGGCCCACAGTTATTATCAAAAAATGTTATGGAATCACAATTGAAATAATTTTTTTTTTATGTTATTTAAAAAATTATGTGCAAGTCTCAAATACTCTATGTTTTCCTATTATGTAAATATTAATCTCTCCATTTTATAACAGAAATATTGATTTCCATGGCAAAACTTATGTTGCTAAGGCTTTGGGGGTGACTTAGGTTCTATAGAAAAAAAATTATTGTAAATGTCACGCAAATTGGTGCATTTTCTAGTTTTTACCCATCATGATAAAATTGTTGTTGAAAATCGACATTTCCAAAAGATTCCTTCCATTATTCTCGTTAATCTGCACTCTATGTCTCCATGCCTATAAGGGATAACTTCGAAATACCTTGTAAAAGACAATAAGTTTTGTTGAAGCTATTCTCCAGCTTCTTACTTTGAAACTAGAGCTGTAAATACGAGTAAACAAATCGGGTAAGAGTGGGTCAGGTCAGATCGGATCGAGTCAATTTAGATTAATTCCATAACCTGTGCGGGTTGGATTTGGGTTGAATCATGCTTGAGTCGGGTCACGTCGAGTCATACTTCTTATCGTGTTTGAGTCGGGTTAATAACATGTCGGGTTACATTCGGGTCGGGTGAATAATAGGTCAGGTTTTCACGGGTTAAAACGGGTTAGGGTAATTCTCGGGTCCGAGTCGGGTTCAGTTCAAGTCAATAATTTACGGGTTAGAATCAGGTCGGGTCATTTTCAAGTCGGGTCATTCTCGAGTTCAAGTCGGGTTCAATTCAAGTCAATGATTTGCGGGTTATAATCAGGTTGGGTCATTTCCAAATTGGGTCATTCTCGGATTCAAGTCGGGTTATGTCCAAGTCAATAATTTTTAGGTTACAATCAGGTCGGGTAAATTCCACGTCAGGTCATATTCGGGTTCAACTAACTATAAATAGATAATTATCATTTTTATCAAGCTAATTATTTCCTTTCAATATAATATATATGACAATATACTAGGGAACTATAGTCTATAATTTAGGAAGATAATTATCTCCTTTGACCATACAACAAATATATACTATATTTAACTCTTAAACTTGAGGATGATGCTCCTTTCTTTTGCTGGCCTGGACCGACTTGATCTCCCTAGACAAAATGCTTTGATCAACTATAATAAGGTGGTCTAAATTTCATTTAAGGTGATTTGAAATCAGGTCGGGAATAATTAAGGTTGAATTTAGGTCGGTTCAATAACAAGTCGTGTTAATTTCGAGTCGAGTTAGTATTAGATCACGTTGAATTTATGGGTTTAGTGAGTAATAGGTCTGGTAAAAGTTAGGTCGGGTCAATAACAAGTCGGGTTTAATTTGGGCCATGTCAATAAGAAATCGGGTTGATTTTAGGGGTCGGGTTTGTAACATGTTAGGTTAATTTCGGGTCGGGTTAGGAACGGGTCGGGTTGAATTCAGGTCATGTTAGTAACAAGTCGGGTTAAATTCGAGTTTTGACTTGTTAAAACAGGTTTGGGGCAATTTCGATTCAATTCGGGTTCGGTGCAAGTTAATAAAATTGCTCATTGTAAATCGGTAAATCGGTGCAAGTTGTAAACCGGTAAATTAGTCGTTTAAAGGAAAATTGGATGGTTTCACCCACCCAATTGGACTCCAGGAGGGTATTAGGAGTCATGATAAACATTTTTGCAAATTTTATTGCGGACGAAAAAAAGTCAAAAAATTAAAAAATTGAAGGCTAATATCCATGTTTTTGAGAAATTTTGGAATCTTCGAGACCCGGTGTCTAAAAGTCTTGAAATTTAAGGGAATAAATCTCGGAGTCATATAATGTCGTTTGGAACCATATGTAATCATTATTTGTTGTCATACATGTTCATGGTAGACTTAAGTTAATGAAATCGGTGCAAGTTGTAAATCGATAAATTGGTCGTTTAAAAGCAAATTGGATGGTTCCACCCAACAAATTGGACTCCCAAAGAGTATTAGGGACCATGGTAAACAATTCAACAATTTTTATATCCATGCGAAAAAAGTAAAAAAATTCCAAAATTGAAGGCTTATATCCACGTTTTTTGAGAAATTTTGGAGGTTTCGGGACCTGGTGTCGAAAAGCCTTGAGATTTTAGAGAATATATCTCGGGGTCATATAATGCCGTTTGGAACCATATATGATCATTATATGTTGTCATAAATGTTCGTGGTAGGCTTGAGTTAATGAAATAGTGCAAGTTAAAAATCGGTAAATTGGTCGTTTAAAGGCAAATTGTATGGTTCCACCCACCCAATTGGACTCCCAAAGGGTATTAGGGACCAAGGTAAACATTTCAGCAATTTTTATTTCTAGGCGAAAAAAGTTTACAAAAATTCCAAAATTGAAGTCTAATATCCACACTTTTTGAGAAATTTTGGAGTTTTCGGGGGCCAGTGTCTAAAAGCCTTGAGATTTTAGAGAATATATCTCGGGGTCATATAATGCCGTTTGGAACCATATATGATCATTATATGTTGTCATAAATGTTCGTGGTAGGCTTGAGTTAATGAAATAGTGCAAGTTAAAAATCGGTAAATTGGTCGTTTAAAGGCAAATTGTATGGTTCCACCCACCCAATTGGACTCCCAAAGGGTATTAGGGACCAAGGTAAACATTTCAACAATTTTTATTTCTGGGCGAAAAAAGTTTACAAAAATTCCAAAATTGAAGTCTAATATCCAAACTTTTTGAGAAATTTTGGAGTTTTCGGGGGCTAGTGTCTAAAAGTCTTGAAATTCTAGGGAGTACATCTCGGGGTCATATAATGTCGTTTGGTACCATATATAATCATTATTTGTTGTCATAAATGTTCGTTGTAGGCTTGACTTGATGAAATCGATGCAAGTTGTAAACTAGTAACTCGGCTGTTTAAAAGCAAATTGGATAGTTGCACCTAGCCAGGTGGGCTCCCAGAGGGTATTAGGGACCATTATAAAGATCGGCATTTTTTTATTTCCAAGCGAAAAAATTCAAAATATTCCAAAATTGAAGTATAATATCCACGCATTTTGCGAAATTTTGGAGGTTTTAGGGCTCGGTGTCGAAAAGTCTTGAAATTCTAGAGGATAAATCTCGAGGTCATTTAATTCAGTTTAAAACCATATCCAAAATTCTAGAGGATAAATCTCGGCAATTTTTATTTCTGAGCAAAAAAAAATGTCAATAAATTCCAAAATTGAAGGCTAATATCCATGTTTTTAAGAAATTTTGGAAGTTTCAGAACCCGGTGTCGAAAATAATTGAGATTTTATGGAACACATCTCGGGGTCATATAACGTCGTTTGATACCATTTATGATCATTATAGGTTGTCTTAAATGTTCGTGGTAAACTTGATTTAATGAAATCGGTGCAAGTTATAAATCGATAAATTGGCCGTTTAAAGGCAAATTGGATGGTTTCACCCACCCAATTGGACTACTGAAGGGTATTAGGGACCATGCTAAACGTTTTGGCAATTTTTATTTTCAGGCAAAAAAAAGTCAAAAAAATTCCAAATTTGAAGGCTAATATCCACGCTTTTTGAGAAATTTTTTGAGGTTTCGGGGACTAGTGTCGAAAAGATTTGAGATTTTAGGGTATACATCTCGGGGTCATAGAATACTTTTTTAAACCATAAATGATCATTATATGTTGTCATAAATGTTCGTGGTAGGCTTGAGTTAATGAAATCGATGCAAGTTGTAAACCGGTAAATTAGTCATTTAAAGGCAATTTGGATGGTTCCACCCATCTAAATAGACTCCCAGAGGGTATTAGGGACCATGGTAAACATTCGGCAATTTTTATTTACAAGTGAAAAAAAAGTCAAAAAATTCCAAAATTTAAGGCTAATATCAACGCTTTTTGTGAAATTTTTGAGGTTTCGAGGCCTGGTGTCGAAAAGGCTTGAGATATTAGGGGGTAAATCTCGGGGTCATATAATGCCATTTGGAATCATATATGATCATTATATGTTGTCATAAATGTTCGTCGTAGGCTTGAATTAATGAAATCGGTGCAAGTTGTAAAACGGTATTGGTCGTTTAATGGCAAATTGGATGGTTCCACCTATCAAATGAAACTCCCGGACGGTATTAGAGACCATGGTAAACATTTTGACAATTTTTATTTCTGAGTGAAAAAAAGTCAAAAAATTCCAAAATTGAAGACTAATATCTAAGCATTTTGCGAAATTTTGAAAGTTTCGAGGCTCGGTGTCACAAAGTATTGAAATTTTAGGAAATACATTTCAGGGTCATTTAATGTCGTTTGGAACCATATATGATTATTATATGTTGTCATAAATGTTCGTGGAAGGCTTGAGTTAATGAAATCGATGCAAGTTGTAAATCGGTAAATTTGTCGTTAAAAGGCGAATTGGATGGTTCCACTCACCCAATGGGACTCCCGGAGGGTATTAGGGAACATGGTAAACATTTCGAAAATTTTTATTTCCGGGCGAAAAAAAAGTAAAAAAATTCAAAAATTGAAGGCTAATTATCCACGTTTTTTGAGAATTTTTGGAGGTTTCGGGGCTCGTTGTCGAAAAACCTTGAGATTTTGGTGGATACATCTCAGGGTCATATAATGCTGTTTGGCACCATAAATAATCATTATATGTTGTTTTAAATGTTCGTGGTAGGCTTGAAATAATGAAATCGATAAGAGTTGTAAATTAGCCGTTTAAAGGCAAATTGGATGGTTCTACATACCCAATTAGACTCCCAGAGGGTATTATTGACCATGGTAAACAATTCGACAATTTTTATTCTCAAGCGAAAAAAAAGTCAAAAAATTCAAAAATTGAAGGTTAATATCCACGGTTTTTGAGAAATTTTGGAGTTTTCGGGGGCCAGTATCTAAAAGTCTTGAAATTCTAGGGATTACATTTCGGGGTCATATAATGTCGTTTGGAAGCATATATGATCATTATTTGTTGTCATAAATGTTCGTGGTAGGCTTGAGTTAATGAAATCGGTGCAAATTGTGAACCGGTAAATTGGTCGTTTAAAGGCAAATTGGTTGGTTCCACCCACCTAATTGGACTCCCGTGGGGTATTAGAGAGCATGGTAAACATTACAGGAATTTTTAGTTCCGTACGAAAAAAGTCAAAAAATTCCAAAATTGAAGCCTAACATCCATGCTTTTTAAGAAATTTCGAAAGTTTCGGGGCCCGGTATTGAAAATAAATGAGATTTTAGGTATACGTCTCAGGGTCATATAATGCCGTTTGGAACCATATATGATCATTATATGTTGTCATAAATGTTCGTGGTAGGCTTGAGTTAATGAAATCGGTGCAAGATGTAAACCGGTAAATTGGCCGTTCAAAGGCAAATTGAATGGTTACACCCAGCCAATTGAACTCCCGGAGGGTATTAGGGACCATGGTAACATTTCGGCGATTTTTATTTACGGGCGAAAAATAGTCAAAAAATTCAAAAATTTAAAGCTAATATCCACGATTTTTGAGAAATTTTGGAGGTTTCGAGGCCCGATGTCGAAAATGGTTGAGATTTTAGGGAATACATCTCGGGGTCATATAATGTCAATTGGAACCGTATATGATCATTATATGTTATCATAAATGTTCGTGGTAGGATTGAGTTAATGAAATCGGTACAAGATGTAAACCGGTAAATTGACCGTTTAAAAGCAAATTGGAACCATATATGATCATTATAAGTTGTCATAAATGTTCGTGTTAGGCTTGAGTTAATGAAATCGATGCAAATTGTAAACTGATAAATTGGTCGTTTATAGGCAAATTGGATGGTTCAACCCGAGGGTATTAGGGACCATGGTAAACATTTCGGCAATATTTTTTACGGGTGAATAAAAATAAAAAAAATCCAAAATTGAAGGCTTTTATCCACGCTTTTTAAGAAATTTTTGAGGTTTCGGGTAGAGCTGTCAATTCGAGTAAACGGGTCGGGTTTAGTTCGGCAAGAGTTGGTCGGGTCAATTCGGATTAATTCCATAACCTGTGCGAGTCGGTTTGTGTTGGGTCATGCTTGAGTCGGGTCATACTTCTTACCTGGTTTGGGCCGGGTTAATAATAGGTCGGTTACATTCGGGTCGGGTGAACAATAGGTCGGGTTTAATTCAGGTTTTCACGGGTAAAAACAAGTTAGGGTAATTCTAGGGTTCGAGTTAGGTTCGATTCAAGTCAATAATCTGCGGGTTAGAATCAGGTCGGGTCATTCTCGGTTTTGAGTCAGGTTCGGTTCAAGTTAATAATTTGCGGGTTTTAATTAGGTCGAGTCATTTTCAAGTCGGGTCATTCTCGGGTTCAAGTCGGGTTCGGTTCAAGTCAATAATTTGCGGGTTATAATCAGGTTGGGTCATTTCAAAATTGGGTCATTCTCGGATTCAAGTCGGGTTATGTTTAAATCAATAATTTGCAGGTTACAATCAGGTCGGGTCATTTCCAAGTCAGGTCATATTCGATTCAACTAACTATAAATAGATAATTATCATTTTTATCAAGCCTACTATTTCCCTTGACTATAATATATATGACAATATACAAGGAAACTATATTCTATAATTTAGGAAGATAATTATCTCCTTTGACCATACGACAAATATATACTATATTTAATTCTTAAATTTGAGGATGATGCTCCTTTCTTTTGCATTTATAAGGTGGTCTAAATGGCATTTAAGGTGATTTGAAATAAGGTCAGGAACAATTTGGGTTGAATTTAGGTCGGGTCAATAACAAGATGTGTTGATTCGAGTTGGGCTAGTTAAAGATCAGATCGGGTTAAATTTTTTGGTCGACTTAGTAATAGGTATGGTAAAATTTGGGTCAATAACAAGTCGGGTTGAACTTGGGTCAGGTTAATAACAAGTCGGGTTGATTTCGGGTCAGGTTTATAACAGGTGCTGATATTATTTATTTGTTAACGCTTGAATTATGAGTGTTGATATTAACCTCTCTGCTTTATGTCAAATCGTTGCACATAATTTGTAACGGAGGTAGTATATTGCCGTGTTGCGTAGCTCTCTTAATTAATCACACAAAAATAGATGATAAATAAACAATTACTATAATGGAAGCTTTTTAAACAATTATCAAATTTGTGTTTTTTTTTTCATTTTTCTTTTTTTTTTTTTTTTTTTTATAGGAAATATCAAATTTGATCTTGAGAGCAATTATATGACTCAATTATTATTAATACCATATTTTGTTGATTTATTTCTCTTGCAGTTAGTTTTGTTACCACTGTCTATTATTTTGCCACGTCTTGTGCTTTGGTCATAGAAAGTAAAATGCTCAAAGTAAATATCATTAATGATTTTATTATTAGGGGCATTATTGGTTGGTAATCTTTTTGCAATCCTAATAAAAGGATTTATTTCCTTATTTATTAGAGGCACTTATTGGTTGTGTATCTCTATAGACCCAAAAAGACTCAATTATTCTTTGAATTCTTTTTCTTTGGTCAATTCTATAATTAATTTAACATTTCCCCTTTGTCATAGTTCATATTATTTTTACTTATTTCAGAAAAATAAAATTCAGCTCAGATCACATCATACAAAAATAAGTTTAAATCAAATCATCGCAAGTGCGGTTTTTTTTTATAGCTAAATAAATATCTTTAATTACATATTGAAAAAAATTACACATTAAAGCGCATCTAACAAGACCCCACATGATATATTTTTTCTTTATAAATTATCATACACATAAAATTAAAATTTGATCAAATCAAACACTCATATCAAATCAAATCATACCATATCAGATTAGATAAGATAATAAAAAAATAAGGTGAACTAAACAAGCCCTTAACTTCGTAATTTTTTTAATTAGGGTATCATACATGACTATATTTTCCCAAAATCAAAAGTTATATGAGTAGTGGATAAGTTAAAAATAAATAATAGTAATAAATAAAAAAAAAAAAATAGGGGAACTATAATATATGTTATATATCCACCACCCCTAAATGTAATATAATCTAATATAATTAGGGGTGTTCAAAATTGGCAAGGACCGAAAAAATGGAGCGGACCGGACCAAATTATTCGATCCGATCTCAGAAATTTATGTTTCCGGTCTTCGGTCTAGTTTGCTCCTACACCCTATAAAAATCAGCCTTTGACTAGAGAGTTTTTTTTTTATATTTTTTTTTATTTTTTTATTTTGTATAAAACATACAATAAAAAGACTTAATATTTTTTTTTTATGTTTTCCATAGAAATATTAAAAAGTTAGATTTTTTTTTTTCAAAAAAAAAAAGATTTTAATCGATCCAAAATGATCTGATCCAAGTTTTGGACCAGTTTTTCAATCCAATCTTTGGTCTTGGAATTTCAAATTTTAAGCTTTCGATCTGGTCCGATCTTGGACTGATGAACAACCCTAATCTTAATTGATTGTGGTTTAAAAAACTGTCATAATTTATTTTTATTATGACAGTTTAAAGCTGATGTAAACTACGAAGACTTGTAAAACTATTTTAATTTTTTTACGACAGTTTTTAGCCATCGTCTACTACCTCTGTTTTTTTTTTTTTTTTTTTCTTTTTAATAACCTAGAGTTGGGATTTTCCGCAATTCATATGTTATTATTGACTTTTTTTTTTTTTCAATATATAACATGTTAATATGATCATATAATATGTTGTTGGATTTATCATAATGTCTACTTTTATAAATTAATTTTTTTTCATAATTTTACTAACTTTTAATTAAAAATATTAATCGTCAAAGTTGGATCTTGACAAATGTGCAAATCCAACTCTAACTTATTTTAGAAAAACCGTCGTATCTTTGAAAACATTTTAATAGTGGTTTAGATATTTGACTAAACATTTTTTTTCCCCGGAGGTCATTGAAAAATTAAATGCTCAAACGGAAAAAACTTACATAGACTTGATCCATAATAAAAAAAACTGTGGACCTAAGGTTTATATGCTCGTTATTAAATTATATTGAAAATAGTGACCTTATATAGTAACCATAATTTTAACATGGTAACCTTTATTATAACTTGTGTGACCTTTAATATTATTGTGAACTTAAAGCACGACATTATGTTTAACATAGTTACCTTTATTATTCAAATTGATCGTATATAAAAAATTACATTTATAGCCTTTATAATGCCAATTTAACTTTTATTTACGAATAATAACTTTTAATTTAATATGGTGACCTTTTTATTTATTTTTTTTAAATTAGTAAAACAGCTATAGTGTCTCTAATGTTAGTGGTTTACAATAAATTAGAGTGAGTCATGTCTATTTAAGAGTTTGTAAAGTAAATATACTCAATAATTTATAATTAGAGAAGCAAAATTGGTTGGTAAAATCCCTTTGCAATCCTCTTTGAAAGGATTTATTTCCTTAAAACTTGTGTAATAGAATCCTCTCATATTCTCACATTAGCAGATGATCTATGTTCACATTATAAACAACTGAGTTTTACCTATATGAAATCTCACATTTTTGAAATAATTATAGTGATATCTCAAAAGATATATAGTTTATCCAAACTAGTTGTCAGTGTGAATCTGAGTTGGCTGAGATTTAGTATTACCTTAGACTAAGATGGCCAAGACTACCATTTTTAAGAAGGAAAAAAAAAAATAATGAAATTTGAGCTCCCTCTTTATTATTAAATTGTTATTTAAGTACTTCTAATTCACAACTCAGTCCTTAAAATTAAAATTATTAGACAGAAAATTTAAATATAATTCTAAAATATCTAATAAATGTTTATAAAGAGAAACTTGCAATTAAAACTCCTTTTTGTGATTGAAAATATAAAATGAAATAAAAAAAATAGAGGGATCAATAAGTTATTAATTTTATTATAAGACAAGGAATGGCAGCATATTTGGGGTGATTCAAGGCATTAGGAGAGTCCCCCCTATAAATATACTAGTAACCTACCCAAAGCCCATCACATTTCTAAAGCTAAGCCAACAGAATTCACTTAAAGATACATATATTTTTTTCCTCCTCAAAAGAGAGTACATTTCTTTGCTCACCATGGCTGAGAATATGATTGAGAGAAAAACTAGGGGAAGGCAAAAGGTGCCCATGGTGCGCATGGAAAAAGCTACCAATCGCCTAGTTACTTTTTCCAAGCGTCGTTCCGGCCTTTTTAAGAAGGCTAGTGAATTGTGCACCTTATGTGATGCACAAGTTGCAGTCATTGTTTTTTCTCCAGGAAAAAAGGTCTTCTCTTTTGGCCACCCTTCGGTTGATGCTGTCATCAACCGTTATTTAATGGTCAACACTAATCTCAACAATGCTAACAATAATGCTGGAAGTTTAGGGTCTTGTATTGATACAAGTCTCTTAAACTTGCAAATTACCAACAACAACAACCATGCTGATTCGGAGAGGAAGCGGGGTGAAGGAATTCTTAAAGAACGAGAGGGAAGGGAGGAAGATTTCTTGTGGATAAGCCCAATTGACGCTAATTGCTTTGAAGACCTAAAAAAGATTGAAAAGTCAATAGCAAAGGTTATGAATGATGCATACGCAAAACATCATCATTGTCTTCTTAGGGCTAAACAAGCAAGGGCTATTATGGGACTTGCCTGTACTTCTCCACCAGAAATGGTGGAAGGGCAGAACCCTATTGCAACCCCTTATGGGGGTCTCCCTCATCCATGGTTTATGGTCCCAACTAACTTGGTTGATGGCCATAATAATGACCCATCTCAAATGACAATGATGATCTCATCTCCCATGGGAGGAGTTGCAGATCCATCATTAACAATTGGGCCAAATATATATATTAATCACCTTAATACAAATTCTAATGTTGTTGCTAATGTTAATGCAGGACGCTCGATGCCAAACCCCATAAGTTTGGGTTATTCTACCCCAAATTTTATGCCATCTTTCCTAGGGGAAAACAATCCCATGGAAGGTGGCCAATTTGACGGGCATCCGCCTTTGCCACCATATCCCTTGGAAGGCAATCAATTCGGTGGGCATCCTCCTTTGCCATCAATAAATCCCATGGAAGGTGGTCAATTTGGTGGGCATCCTCCATTGCCATCAATGAATCCCATGATAGGTGGTCAGTTTGGTGGGCATCCTCCTTTGCCACCAATGAATCCCATGAATGGTGGTCAATTTGGTGGGCATCCTCCTTTGCCACCGAATATGGCGGATATGGACCCTATGCCAAGTAATATCCAGACTTTCACTCCTTCACAATTTGGGGTAGGAAGTGGCGCAAATGTCCCGGTTAATTATCCGAGTGGGTTTGGATTTGGTTATGACAAGTTTCACTAGTTTCCTAGATCTACCCCTGGGGGGGGGGGGTTTCAAGAGTAGCAAGGGAGAAGGGAACATGTTTTGTCTACAGTAGCTCATGCCTGGGGATGAAGCATTAACACCCAGCACTATTGCAACTCTCATGGATCTTCCTATATCTTTCATGGAAGCTAGGGTAGTTCTGGAGGCTTTATGTTTGTTTTATCTATCCCTGTATTGCCCATGCAGATTATATGCTAGGGCTTTATGTTTTATTTCTGTTCGTTTCTTGATGCAATGTAGTGTTTGTTGTCTTTAGTTTCTTCTAGTTTTCAAGTGCAATGTAGTGTTTGCAGATTATATGCTAGTGCAATGTAGCTCTCTCTATGCTTTAATGAAAGTTATACAATTATCTTCACCAGCTGTATTAATTAGATTCGATCTAGCAATTTATCTTCTCATAATTTGCTTATTAAAATGCCAAAAAAAATGGAATATATTGGCACTCTAAAATGCAGGAATTACCATATCTCTGTAAATTATGAATTATAGAACAATTGTGGAACATTATCATGGTAAACTGATTCACACATAAATTGGCCCAGGTGTAACCTTCTACCATGAGAAAACTTAATTGATGAGCAGAAATGAAGTGTTGGTTCTCTAAATACTTCTACATGAGTTACAAAGTCTCAAAAGTTCTTTTGCATTAGAAAGTACGACATTCACGTTATTCTGAGACAGAAACTACTCATTGATTTCTTATACTAAGGTCAAATTTTAGGTTGATTTGCATGGTATACCTATTGTCAGACACAAAAACAGTGCGGTAAAATTAAAAAGAAAACCTGTATTATTGTTGACGCCAACGGCAGGAAAGCACCTGAAAATTTAATTTTAAAAAACTTGGATTACTTTGCTGAACCTGACATTAAAAACTGTAAAAATAACCAAATAAAGAAGATTAACAGTTAAATGGAGTGGAAAAAGCATTAGAATCAAAAAAATTCGAGAAAGAGTGAAATATTAGTTACTGCCAAACAAAGTAAAGAGGATGGAAATGAATGAGAACTATCGCAGGTAGTGGGCATACGTTATATAAACTTATAATACACAAATCTGAAAGAAATTACCCAGATAAAGAAATATAGAAGGATATGCCCTGTATAGAGTGGCACCTTAGTTGCAAATCAGCCAGTGCCTATTAAGCAATGAATGAAGCACCTTATACATCTGCCGGAAGCTTATAGATTTGGTTAATATCCATTGGAAGAATTTCCACTACTCTGATAGCATAATGCTTAGGATATGTTCTTACTGATGAGCAGAAAAGAGTCGACAATATCTACTCATTATGGCTAATGCCAACTCCAACGAAGTTTCACGGAAAAATAAGTCTTGGAGAGTAAATACCAAATCTTCTGGCTGCAACCAGCCCAGCAGCCAGTGCTATTCCAAACAAAGCATGCAATCGAACACAGTAGTATTTTGCCATGAAGATCTTTTCATTATCCTGATGAACATGTTAATGTATCAGAAACTCAAAATGAAAACTAAATACCCTTAGGTTCCATGCTGTACTATTTTTTAAAATGACCAATTAAAGAAACTAGCACAAAGAACACATGATCTACCATCTTTATTGAGATCTCAATGTCTCATACAATAAAATAAATACAAAACTTTCAAGATAATTTCCACACAAAAATTCTGACAGCTACTCGTGACTTTGAGAGAGGAAACAGTAAGGATGGTAGATAAGAATTTTACAAAACCTCTCAATGACAAAAGAAGTGAACAAGCCATATGCTTTGCTCTGGAAATTATGAAAAGGCAGTCATGTGGAATGGTAAGCAATTTAGAATCGCAGTATAGTAATTAATTAACTTAAAATGTTTTAGGCTTTTCCCAAGGAGGCGTGCCCACATGAGTGAGTTTATTGCCAAGAAAATTTCCATACCAAGACCTAAAAAGCCGCGAGCAAAGAATGTTTTAAAAAAGAAAGGATTGTATTGATTAATGACAACCCTAGTGTGAACCCTCCCATCCTCCCCCAACCCCAAAAATGTTATCTGGGGGCCTAGGACACCTACTTCTACATAATTTTAAAAAGTTGCAGCTATTTTTAAAACGCTGGAATTATAGTGAGAGCTTCAGAAGTAGCCATTGAAGTATTGTACCAAACTGTGCAACTTTATGGACAGATTGGATCTGGACCCGTGGATATGTTCCCTCCGTATCCTACAAACATTTTTTGGAAATTCTCATCAGTAGCCTTATACCTTTGAATTTCACCATTAGAAGCAATTTTTTTCTTCTAATAATAATTGGTAGCCCTAATCTTTTAAAAACATTCAATTGAATCTAACTAATTTCAGCCAAGGTTAGCTTTGTTATATTTAAAAAGGATAGAGGCTATAAGATTTCAAATAAACTTCCCTTTAGTTCCTTTCCAGATTTTTATTAACAACTCCTGCTAGGCTGCTTTCGTGAAAACCAATAATAAACTAAGGAATGAATGATGTCACAGGGAAGAGGTGTTCAGGGTCACATAGGTCCTCAATTCATTTAGTGGAGATCTATTCAGGCACTATTGTCCAATACTAAAAAAACTTTTAAATCGTCTTTTAGGCATAGATCATAGGCTTCAACTGGGGCAATTATGAATTGGCAATTATAAGTACATTGGGGCACCACTATGGCTCCGGGCCTCCAAGAGGCCTCCTATACAGACATCCACAAAAATATTTCATTAATGTGAATTCATAACTTTGCAAAAGGGCCTTTTTGGGGACAACTTAGCACCAGAGCATCTACATTCCCAATAGCCAATAATTCAACATGCTTCAAAGCCTCGTAGAAATACTATCTTAGAGGCTTACTGTGTTGGCAAATGGTATCAACTCAACAACAACAACAATAGTTGAAGCCTTAATCCCAAATATGAGGTTCCTGCAAACCCAACTACTTCATGTCCTTAGTTCTTTCCATCCAAGCCATCATTGGTCTACCCACTGCTTCTTTTGAGATCCCCTTGATCCCAAACCTCTACTTTCCTCACTTGTGCATGTTCCAATCTCAGCCTGACATGCCCAAACCAACGCAACCTGTACTCTGACTTTCCTCCAAATATTTTCATTTCTAAGGTGTTTACTACACATCCATCTCAAAATATGCATCTCTAAAACTCCCATCTTCCTAATACCTGAATGCCAACATACTAGCCCATATAACACTGGTCTTATAGTCATCCGATGGCACCTTTTTACCATCCACTGTTAATATATCCCCACTTGACTTCCTTGTATTGCTAAAATTACATTCATGTACTTAGTCTTGCTCCAACTTAGACTAAACCCCCGATATTCTAGATTTTACCTCCATTGCTCCAACTTAGTTTGAACCATTGCTCCTTTTGGAGGTCTTGTATAAGCGTCAACTAGGGGCAAGGCAACTTTAGCCATATATCAGTATCATCTACCCTCTGGCCACTTAAAAAAGTAGGGTAAATCTTAAAATCTCCCCTCAACTTTTATTTGAGATTTTTCACCAGCCTTCAAGGGTCTTTCAAGCAAGTCACAGGATTATATTTGAAACAAGTTCTGGTCATATATTTTAGGAACATGATTATAATGGGTACGAGTTGAAGAAAAAAGAACAGGTCACCTTGGATAGCAAATAACATTCCAAGACACAATCATAGTGCTAGACGCCATTAGACCTGGAGTCCTAGACAGTCCATAAAATATTACTCTAGCATGACCCCCTGGTAAGTTTCCAGCATAAATAAAGTTATATGTCTATCTTATCTCAAGGCTTCATCGGACAGAAGTCATAAACCTATCAATGGTGCATATAAACTCTCCAACCACCTAGACAATTCTAAGCTAATGATTTTTAATGGTTGAAACACAAATTACAATCCTCCTAACCGTTCAGCACTACATCTTCCTGAACCCAACTATCCTTTTTTTTTTAAAAGAAAAACCCCACACCTGTAACATGTAAATAGCAAAGCAACTACACGGCCAAAATTGACTTTTAACTCTTGACCGTACCCATTACAGGATATTACTTTGTCTCAATTCAACAGAGATTAAAATTCTGCTACAAATGGCAACTACTCTGTCTAATCCATAGTAATTAAAACATAAAGAAATGAAACGAAGATTGAGAGAAAATAAGTGTGGATGGGTGTGGGAAACACTCAATGAAATAGCTTGTCAAAAAGGTACGATTCTATGATTATAGGTCATGCTAAGAAATGCTCTACCAATTAATCAAAGTCTTAATCCCATAAGTGGGGTCGACTACATGAACCAAAAGTAATTATTCCGTATAATCTCCAAAAATCTTCCTCCTCCATCCCTTACGATTAAATGCCTCATTTCACGCAAATACATATGCTTCATATCCTTCCTAAATCATCCGACCAAGTCATTTTCGGTCTCCCTCTCCCTCATTTAATCTTTTCATGTCCCACTCTTCTACTCTTCACACCAGTGCACCTTCGAATTTCCATCTTACATGCCCAAACCAACGCAGCCATTTTTTCCTTAGTTTGTGTGCAATGCCTACAACATCCACTTTCTTACAAATAACCTAATCCCGCTTGTCTGAAATGCTCGACCAATAAGAAATGCTCTATTATAAACTAAAAATGGCTCTACTCTCTAAAACTTAACTCTTTCACACCATTCCACATCAATTGCTTCATGGTTTTTTTTTTTTAATTGATTTTAATTTTTCCCATAATCACCGCATTCATGAACAACATAAAATAAAAAATAAAAAAATAAAAAAAAAAATTCCCTCGTCTTCATACACTTACACTCTTTTACATAATTTATTTTAATTATTCTTTTGCTTTCAGAATATGTCAATATTGGTGTCTATTTAAAGCACCCGAACAATTATCACCGTTGGCATATATTAGTATACTACCTCCTCCAATTTTTTAGTTGCACCGTTTTCTTTTTTAGGAAGTTGCGTATTAATGCACCATTTCTATTTTAGGTATGCTTTCATACACCATTTGTTTTTGTTCACACATTAAATACTCGAGCCTAACTTTACTCACATTTGATATTTACCCTTATTACCTCACATTTACTTTCTTTCTTCTGTTTATATTCACAAGGGCATTGTTGTAATTTAATTCCTATCTTAATGTTTGTACCCAACCCAAACGGTCTACAAAAATTAAATTTGGAGAAAGTATTCATTTTGGACAAAATAAAATTTTTAAAATATAGTTCCTCATTTCTTCTAACATACATTGCTTCTCACTTCACGTTTGCCAATGCATTATTTCAATCCCTAATTTTTATTTACTTTATCTGTTTCATACTATTTGCAATGATTAGACATTTTTCCTCTCTACTTTATGTTAAATCGTTGCAAATAATATGGAACGGAGATAGTATTATAGATAACTAAATCTTATATAAAATTCAATATTATGAAAGTATGAATCGAGACGAATCAAACAAGTCCACAATACTATTATTTTATTAAAAATAAATCATCAAAGTTAGTCAAAGTAAATTATGTGAATGCATTAAAATATAAAATAAAATATGTGAATAGTGCATAAGTCAAAGTGTTGCAAGTAAAAAGTAACAAAGGAAGTAATTATTTAGCAAAAGTGGACCCCATT